CATCAGTCACTATCCTCCCTTGTATTTATCCATATGTTGTAGTTATCCTAATCATTATAGGATTAGGATAATCATCCCCTTTATTGTTGTAATCCTTATCTCCTAAGGAATATGCTTATTCTCTTGTATGTATATATATGTATGTGCACGTGATGAATAAGATATACAGAGTTACAACCTTCTCCTTTATTCTATAACATTTCTCTAATTTATTTGATTTTTTTTCTTTTTTAATTTTATTTTTACTTAGAAAAAAAGTTATCGTATTGTACTTGATCACTCCATTTTATGTCTCCATCGGATGTGAATGCTTCACCAAAATCAAATAATTGAGTCTGTACAACTATAATGCATGATTAATTTTCAAAGACCCACTTGTGTGTACTGAGTAGTGTAGTTTAATCTATGATTATTATAATATCTAAGCAACAGTGAAAAAGGTGTATTATTGATCAAGAATATTCTTCTGCCACTCTCCACGCCGAATCAATTTAGGTGATTAGAAAATGGGTAATAAAGCAATAATAAATAAGAAAAAGAAAGACCAAAAAGTTATATATTGGCCATAATGTATTCAGATTCCAAAATGGGTGGAAGTGATGAGTTGTGACATGTAAAGGTGAAAAAAAGAAAATACAGTATCAGGTAAGTGAATGATTGCTTCAACTTAATCATGTTTTGGGACTTAAAAGGCAAAGGAGACTCCAATAATCTTTGGTGTACTATGGTTGGTGGATGCTAAGACACTCCAGAAACCAAATGAATAAATATGACTGACCATATGAGAGAAGGGTTACTAGTGGCCCCAACCATAGGGCCCCAAGGCTTTAGTTTTCTACAGTAACAGGTCCCAAATTTTACTTTTGGCAGTTCATGTCGATCGTCTTCTTGACGGGTTAAATTTATTTGTCAGCTTGACAAAAAAATACATACACAACTGGTAAAACCTATCCATGAGAAGAGTCACGTTTGATGTTTTGTTCTACATCTACTTACGTGAAAGAATTCTATGATTGTTTTTGCTACAATGACTTTTCTACTACTAGACGACGACAGATTACCACTTAGTTGAAAATTCCAATTCAGCAATAATTACAAAAGACACACTAACATCACTAAATTGTTTACTATTCAAATGGTGGACCATGGCTACTGATGGCTCCACAATGAGATACAAATATATGTTATTTTATAACTATTTTTCTTAAAAAGTCGATATAAACGACTCCTTTAACAATTATCAACGAACCGAGTATATCAGAAAGTTATTCAATTAATATTTATCTTATTGAAATCTAATAGAACTAATTCACATTTTCACCAGTATGCTTCTCGAGATCTGATGACGGCTCCACAACTAAATACAAATATAATAATATTTTAAAACTAATTTAGTGAGTTGTTTAAATTTATATGTTGTTTATTTTAATGTCGTACAACTAATCAAAAATCGTAAATCTTGATTTTTTTCCGGCAACTTGGGACACTACTCTCTGCAACTAATCACAAAATCTTACCACATGCAAACAAATAACATTTAGTTGTAGATTGCAGTCACATGTAGTAAGCGCAAACGGCCATAGTAAACCATTATTTTAGCAATTACTAACGAACAACCATAATTAAATTACTCAAAGTATGATAAGAAAATTATTCAACTAACTTTAATTTGTATATACTTTGCTAAAACCTAGATCCAATTCAAAAAAATCCACCAGTGTTTCTTTAACATACCAAAAAAAATTAAACGAGTTTCTCTTAATGGAAACATACCTGCTTTAGTGGAAGCATCAGCTTGAGCAACGTTCCGTGCCATAGAAGCAAGCAAAGCGATACCATGCTCCGCTGCAGCCACCGTGTTAGCAGTCGGAGCATTAACCACCAAACATCCATACTCCGTCGCAGCTTGAAGATCAACGTTGTCAATCCCAACTCCAGCTCTTCCGACAACTTTCAACCGCCCCTTCGCCGCCTCAAACACTTCTCTCGTCACTTTAGTTCCGCTTCTAACGATCAACGCGTCGCTCTCGGACACTTTCTTCTTCAGATCCTCCGGTGAAAGCTCGTAAGAGCAGTCCACGTCGCCGAATTCTCGGAGGAGGTTGACTCCGGCTTCTCCTAGCTTCTCCGCGACGAGGATCCTCGGCTTAGGAAGCGACGCTAGGTCTTCTTGGTCAGATCCGTATGTGGAGAGATTGTTTTCCTCTGTTAACTTCGTTTGCTCGACGGTTCTCAAGGCGTTGGTCGCCGTTAGTTTGAGGTTTGGTGTGTAACGGAGCTCTGGTAACAGAGATAGACGGAGGGATGCGAGTTTTGGTACTGGTGATGGACGTGGAGATGTCCACCGTGAGTTAACGGATTTGACGGTTGAACAAGAAGATGAAAACGCCATGATTTTTGTTTTTGTTTTTTACTTTGTTTGCTTTGTGTGAGAGTGTGTGGCGAACCTAAACGTACGTGCGTATTAATAGACATGTCATGGATAAGTTTTTCATTTATTTTTTTATTTTTACTTTGCGGTCAAAATTATAAATCAGGCTACCAAGATAAATGTATATTCTTTTGAATTGTTTATTTGGTGAGATAGTATATAAAACGAGAAGCACATGCACCAAGTATGGCGTCATTGTCTATATACATCGTTTGTCTCAGAATAAAAATATATTCATATAAGGATACTAAAACATTGGTAATTACTATTATATATATAGATACGGAACTGTTATGTATAGACTATAGAGTAGGTAAGGAGAAGCTATTTTAGTATAAGCGTGATAAGTTTTGTAATCGATTGATCTAAAACGTGAAAATAGAATTATTCAATATGAGTATGACACTATAATACATTGTCGTCTATATTATTAGTGTGATGGTTAGGGATCCATCGCCATATCGCCATGTGCATCCTCAATAATCTAATTTAAATAACTGTCGACCAATCTTTTTCGATGATTCCCCACTAACATCACTGAATTTTCAAAAGCATCTTTTAACAAATTCTTTATAATTTTTTGGGCAATAGAAAATATATTCAAACTCCCATTTCTACAGTCATATTAGTCTACACTACTTATTTTATGCTTTGATGAGAAGATCTGCAATAAACAAGACATGAGAGATAGACTTTTAAGAACTTTGACTGATCCAGCAATACACCAATCAATCATATGATCATACCTTAAGTTAGAAATACTCCCGTAGTTCTGTGGGCAACATCATACTATAAACGCCATTTACAAATTTCAAATGCAAACTCGAGCGAGCATCCCTTCACTTCTTTGGACCCATCAACACAATGAATTGCTCTTCCTTTATATATTTCTACCTAACCAAGATATAGCTTGCAACAACTTTCTGATTTTTTTAGCAAGATTGGGAAGAATAGATGAATCTCTCCTGCAAGTTAGTTCTTACTTTGATGTTGATGTCAATATGCTCACATTTGTGCAGTGGATATATAGAAGTGTGTCACATGTGAGTTTGTGAGTTAATTTCAAAATATTATAGGGATCCTACAAATTTGGGATATATCACTCAATAGAGGCGAAACCATGATTATTTTTCTAGTGGGTGCATAAGTTTATACAAAATTTAGAAGGGTGCATGTGCCCCATAGTAACTGCACTAGCCTCTCCCTGAGTATATTACTTTAGTAAAAAGGGGTGCACATATGAACTAAACCATCACAACTAACTGGTTTCTGCAAACATTTATACACTAAATAAATTTTATTAATAATATTATGGGTATATATATCTTTATAGTGGCTGCATTAGTTTCACCACTGTCACTCAAGCAAGTTTCTTCCGTACACAAGTTAACGTTTCTAATAAGGAAGCTGTGAACACGTATCCTAAATCAAAATAGACCGACTGGTTTTATTAATTGGTTATATTTGGTTTAGTAGTCACTCGATACTAATTTCCCTTTCAAGTTTTCTTTTTTATTTACATCAAATAAAAGTAATAATCTTGGTTTGAGTACTAAGACTTCTAAATTCGTCTGATCAATACTGGTTTTATACATGTTAATCGTTTTCACCGCTTGGATAATATAATTTGGTTAAATTCTCCTTACATTACATATGTAAAATAATTAAAAGAAAGTTTGTAAGAAAAAAGTTATATTCTAAGTAAATGTTCTTAGCATCTGCTATTATAATTTTGTTTATCATAAACCATAATGTTCTTTGTATAAAGAAAACCAATGTGCAGTGGAATCTTTATTTAGGATAATTGGCAAAATTAATTATTTAGAAAAAGTACTAATGATGTTTATATACACATTCCCATCATAATTAAAAGTGGCAAGCGCACCTCCAACACAGACCAATGATATGCTAAATCGTAAGTCACCGTCCATTCATATTTACTGGTCGAATACATAATATCACCGCCTGTGACTGTAACAATAACTTTGATAATCAGGACAAAAACATTATAGTATTAGACAGTAGCTTATACGATTTGTTTCCTTCGTGCTGGTCCCGAAGAAAGAAAGAAAAAAAAAACAGATTGTAATTCCGATTTTATCCTTATTGAGAGAGAGAAAAAGGTGAATGCGTTTTTTTTCTTCTCTCCTTCCTCCATTTTCTACGAAATCAATCATCCGATCAATAGTGGTTTCAATCGATGAACAAAAACTAATGGAATGGAATGTGAATCAATGGATTTGGTGATGGTGATGGTGATGACGCGATCTTCGACTCGTTGATTGAGATTTAGAAGCTCAGATTTTTTTTTTTTTATCTACGCGAAAAAAGAAACATGAGTGGAGATTCATCAGCGGCTACTAGTGGACCTCCTCCGTCTTTAGAGTGGAGATTCTCTCAGGTCTTTGGCGAGCGAACCGCTGGAGAAGAAGTCCAGGAAGGTAATACTTGCGTTAGAGATTGTGAGGAAATGAGTTTTAGATCCGGAGGATGTTTTAGGAGTGAGGCTTTGAATTTTATGGTTTGGATCTGATCTGCTGCTTAGTGTGTCATTGATTGAATCTATGTGACTTGTGTTCTGAGTGTTTTTAGATTGCACTGTTAGTTTGATTTCTAAGTTGTATGAGTTAGGAGAGGTATTCTAAGCTTGAAGCTTCTATGGACACTGTTTCAAAACAGCAGATGAAAGCATGTAATGATCAGTGTGTTGAAAGGGAAGTGTTATCAATTGTTCTGGTTCATGAATTGAAGATTTGTAAGATTGAGTTGGCTTAGATTTGCTTTCTTCTGCGTGATAAGATTTCCTGGAGTATTAATGAAACGAGGTTGTTTTCAGATTCATTTTCAGTATGATAAACTTATTTAATCTACTGTCTCATAACATTTCTCACGTTATTATTCGGACTCTTCTTCACTGGTTTACGTTCACTATCTTATGGAGAAGAATATTGGAGCTGCAGTTTATGATTTTAATGTGTTTAGCTATCTCCGACAGTTTAGTGATTATTATTTATTTTAACCATTCTGTTTGCACACGTTTGTTCTGCAGTTGACATTATTTCTGCCATTGAATTTGATAAAAGTGGAGACCATCTTGCAACGGGTGACCGTGGGGGCCGAGTGGTTCTTTTTGAAAGGACGGATAATAAAGATGTGAGTTCCTTTTCTCTTCTGCTATATTTACTGCTATCTCGAAAAATGTTTTGCGCTGTAATGCATTCTTGCGCGACGTTATTTTTTTCAGCATGGTGGGTCCAGGAGGGATGCTGAGCAGATGGACTATACAGTTAGGCATCCTGAGTTTCGATATAAAACAGAGTTTCAGAGTCATGAACCAGAGGTACATTTACAACCATGTTCAACAGATGTCGCTGGCGTATAATTATGTTGCTAGTGTTACAAATTAATCTCGGTTTCCAATCTCTTTCAGTTCGACTATCTCAAGAGTTTGGAAATAGAGGAGAAAATCAACAAAATCAGGTGGTGTCAGCCAGCAAATGGTGCATTGTTTCTGCTTTCCACAAATGATAAAACCATCAAATATTGGAAGGTGCGACACTTGGATGCGCTTTTATCTTCTCTCGAAATATTTTTGGTGTCGCATGTGAAAGTGGTCTAGAAACTGGTTGGTCATGCTCAGTAAAAAAAAAACATGAAGAGTTTTTGACCCCTCACTCATTTTTGATCAAACAGGTACAAGAGAAGAAGATCAAGAAAATTAGTGAAATGAATATTGATCCGTCGAAATCTCCAGGTCAACCAAGTTCAAGTAGCCCACCTCCAATAGTTACTAATGGTGTACATGCCGATCCAGCACATGACTACCTGAGCAATTTTTCTTTCCCGTTAGGAGGCATTCCATCTCTGCGTTTGCCTGTGGTAGTTGTACTTAAAACGCAATATTATTTTGAAAACTAAATGCATATAGATATCCAGCATGTCTACTATATTCTTTTTGGTGATGCCTTTAGCTTGATTCCAGTAATCTATCTGATTGCATTGTAACTTGAGAATGGAAGATGTGCATGTTTCCCCACTACTGAAACTTAGGGAATTACTCTCCTTTTGTCGTAACTAGAGCTTAGCTTAGTACGAACTTGGTTTTAGTGTCACGCGTTGGTCAAGTGATACTTTTCTTAGAATAATGGGTCGTTCTGCATATTTAGGTGACTAGCCAGGAGACAAGCCTTGTGGCTAGATGCCGAAGAGTATATGCGCATGCTCATGATTACCATATTAATTCAATCTCAAATAGCAGGTAAGCTTTTTCCTAAGTTTTCCCACAAGTTATATGTTTCACCCTCAATATCTCCTTTACCACGTTTTACTGTCTCTCTCCTTGATTGTCTATCTCAGGAAACAGTGTTAACATTTGACATATTTTTTAGAACTTTATTTGAAATCTCTTTGAGTCTCGATTTCTTTTCGTTTATCTCAAATTTCACAACTTGTACATACATGCGTACAATGCAATATTTTGTTCCTTGCAATAATACATCGTTCCCTAAATTTTGAAGCGATGGAGAAACTTTCATTTCGGCTGATGATCTGCGAGTAAATCTCTGGAATTTAGAAATCAGCAACCAGAGCTTCAATATTGTTGATGTTAAGCCTACAAACATGGAGGATTTAACTGGTATGCTTTCTTCCCTTGTTTTGTTGGAAGTTATATTTTGTATTGTCTTAACATTGATGCATGTGTTAACAACCTCCTTGTTTTGAAGTATTCTTCTTTTTAACGTTTACTGTACAAAACCTTATATACCTATTGAGCATGTTTTTGAATACCATACCACATGGTCCCTGCAGAGGTTATTACATCTGCTGAGTTTCATCCAATCCATTGTAACATGCTCGCATATAGCAGCTCAAAAGGCTCCATCCGTTTGATTGATATGCGGCAATCGGCTCTGTGTGATTCTCATACTAAACTGTAAGTTCGGTTCTCCTCGTCCTTTTATAGGAAAGGGTAGTTTTTTTTTCTGGATATGCAGAGTTGTTTTCGATATGTACTGACCTCAGGTGAAATTATAAGTAAGAAGGGTGGGAATATAAATAAGTAGATTAATTTCCAATACTTCTCTTATCTTGTCAAGAATGACTTGGAAGTAAAGATTATTAGGCTAAATGTTTCAGAGCACTGATCATAGTTACTTCATATCACAGATTTGAAGAACCGGAAGCACCTGGTTCCAGATCATTTTTCACGGAGATAATTGCCTCAATTTCTGATATTAAATTTTCAAGGGATGGGAGATACATACTTAGTCGCGATTACATGACCCTCAAGGTTTGGAAATCATCTGAACCCCTTGTGTATATATTTTATGATTGTGGGCCAATATAGGTGTATACTATATAATATTTTATGGTATCGGCCCTTTCTGACGTTTCAGCTGTGGGACATAAACATGGATTCTGGTCCAGTTGCATCTTACCAGGTTCATGAACATCTGAGACCCAAGGTAAGAGCTTCTTTCTATGGGCATCTCTCATTTTACGGTTATGTCTTGAAAACTAACCACATTATGTTTTTACCCGGTTTCAGCTATGCGATCTGTATGAAAATGACTCCATCTTTGATAAATTCGAGTGTTGTCTGAGTGGTGATGGATTGAGGGTAGCAACAGGCTCTTACAGGTTTGCTTTGCTTGCCTCTCTTCTTGTCAATTTCAATACTATTCTTATCTTTATATAAGAGATGAACAAATGACTAAACTTATTTTGCTTGAAACCAGCAATCTATTCCGTGTATTTGGATCGTCTCAAGGAAGTACTGAAGCTGCAACGTTGGAAGCTAGCAAAAACCCGATGAGGTAAATAGGAAGACAGAGAACATTAATAGCTCAACCCCAAGTCATAAAAGTTTATATTGATCAATTGCATAAATTTCGCATCAATGGTTTATATTAGGAGGCAAATCCAGACACCAGCAAGACCTTCGAGAACTATTAGCAGCATGACACGTATGGTTAGACGAGGTTAGTTAATAGTAGTTACGGTATAAGCTTTTACTGTTTCCTTCTGAAGTGAAAAAAATGTGTTTGGACGCAGGATCAGAGAGTCCAGGAGCAGAGGCGAATGGGAACGGATATGACTTCACAAATAAGTTGCTGCATATGGCTTGGCACCCAACAGAGAACTCTATTGCTTGTGCAGCAGCAAACAGCTTGTACATGTATTATGCATGAACCGGTGAGAGAGATGGAAGAACAAAAACATGGAACCAGCTTGCTCCAATTTAACTTTTCTTTTTCTCCTCTCAAACTCTGCTTCTCTTTCTCTCTCTCGCTCTCTTTTAACTACCAAAGTGATTATGTAACCAGAAAAAGGTGTAGTAGTAAGCTGTGACCAAGACCAAAGCCTGACGAGTCACTGCAACGAAGTCCATTGAAGAAGCAACAGTATAATCTTTCAGGTTTTAGACTGTTAAAAAATGTTGGGTTGGGGAAGAAAAGAAGAAGAGACTTGTGTTTTACCATAAGGGTAATTGTCTGAAGTATCTGAACCACCCCTTCCTACTTAGGTTGTCTTTGTTTTTTTAGTTTCGATTATATTACTTTTAAGAAGAAACAGCTTATGGTTTGTGGGAATTTTTAGTATGAGACGATGGGGGAGGGTTTGTGCTTCAAATTTGTTTATTTATTCTTTTGCCATATCTTCTTCTTCTTGAACACATTATTTTCTCTACATGCCTCTTTTTCAATTGTATTTTCAGACATCCTTATGTGATTTTTACCGTTACCCACAATAAAAGAGTAGTTGTATCCCCTTATATCTAGTATATATTACAGTAGCTATCTGAAGACGTGAGGAAGAGGAATAAACGAAGAATGTTTTGATAAATTCGAGAAATATTATGAATATTTAATATCCACATACAGAGTTGTGTTGTCATGTTAAGACTTGGTGATCGGCTGAAATTGCTTTCAAATTTTAGAATATAAGTAATTGAAGAAATCAAATTGATTAATATTGAAAGATGTGGCCACCAAATAAAGATGATGATCCTTAACTCAAAGAATATTCCTTATCTTAAATTTGTCACTCAGTATTCCTCTCTACCCGCTATTGCCTTCTGATGCAATCCTCTACTGATTCATAACTTTGTCGACAAAGCGTGTCACCTAATTGATAAAGCCACTAACCTTACAAAATTCCTGTGTTTATTCGAAATTTGTATCAATTTTTTTTTAAATATGATTTTGCCTACAGACGTGAGTTAGGAAAATATAAAATAAATCTAATTAACACAGATTTTTCATCAAAACTAGTTCATGTACAAAACAAATGTGACCCCTCACTAATGAAACATTATCCATATTCATACAAAAAGAAGAAAAGAAACCAATATGCATTGCGTACACTTTTTTGGTTGAGTTCTGAACCATTTTTTTCCTATTAAAAAAAATGAAATTTTGAGAAACGGATTAATAGGTGGAAGTGGAATATTCTTCTATCTTATTCGTTCTCGTGTCTTCTCAACTGCCTAAAATCCCACTTTAAACAAACTTTTAACAGGCCAAACTAAAATTAAATAATAATAACACCCAACAAAATAAACCAAGAGGCGTCAACACCGTCGGATCAACACACCTAGTCAATATCTGACCTAAACCCATCATCAGATCCAACGGTTTAAAAGAAAAATAAGAACCAAATACCAATTCTTCTTTTCATACTCTCAAAGTAATATTCCAATGGCATCTTCCGAGAATCCCTTATTCGTTTCTCTCATCTCCACTTGTATATAAAACCACATTCATCATCTCCACAATCAATATAATAATCACACACAGATACCTAACAAACTTTTAAGGTTCCCCACAAGAGTCTTCTTTCTCTGTTTTGTCGGAACAATGGCTAACAAGAACAGCATTGTCATCGTATTCGATTTCGACAAGACGATCATCGACGTGGATAGTGATAATTGGGTCGTCGATGAGCTTGGCTTCACTGAGTTGTTCGAAAAGCTTCTCCCCACAATGCCATGGAACTCTCTCATGGTTTGTTCATCATCCATCTCTCTTCACTCTCTGCTCTGTTAGGGTTTGTTCCGTGTCTGTCAAGATTCTCGAAATTAAAGCATAATATATTTGTTTTTAACGTAACAGGATCGTATGATGAAGGAGCTTTATGATCATGGTAAAACAATTGAGGAAATCAAACAAGTGTTGAGAAGAATCCCTATTCATCCTCGTGTCATCCCTGCCATCAAGTCCGCTCATGCTTTAGGGTAAATCTAAATTTTAAACTAATTAATTTGATTAGAGATTAAGACACACAGTAATTTTAATAAGCCATTATGATGTTGGTTATATTCCAGGTGCGAGCTGAGAATAGTGAGTGATGCGAACATGTTCTTCATCGAAACCATTGTTGAACATCTCGGGATTAGTGAGTATTTCTCAGAGATTAACACAAACCCTGGATTTGTAGATGAACAAGGAAGGTTAAGAATCTCTCCTTACCATGACTTCACCAAATCTTCACATGGTTGCTCTCGTTGCCCTCCTAACATGTGCAAGGTACTCTCTTACATGATCTTTTTGTTATATGCTACTATCAACACATGTCATTTGCCTAATCTATACGTTTACACTTGTGTTTGTAGTGTTAAAATTATTTTTGTTATAATTGTAGAGTTTGATCATTGAGAGGATTCAAGCTTCTTTTACCAAAGAAGGAAAGAACATGAAGATGATCTATCTAGGAGATGGTGCTGGTGATTACTGTCCTAGTCTTAGACTCAAAGGTGAAGATTACATGATGCCTAGGAAGAATTTCCCGGTTTGGGATTTGATTAGTCAAAATCCGGCATTGGTTAAGGCTACGGTTAGAGATTGGACCGATGGTGAAGCTATGGAGAAGATACTAATGGGAATTATCAATGAGATTATATCAAAAGAAAAAGAAGAGGAGATGGAGAAGATGTTGAGCTCTGATCATTGCAAGATCATACCTGTTGGGATTGTTCATGAGCCTTTGTTGCCTATTTCTCTGCCGGTTCCTCTACATCTAGTCAAGTGATTGATGAAGAGAACAACGGATCTAATATTTTTGTTTTGAAATATATAAATGTTATTCCTCATGCAATTGAGAAAAAGGTATAAGATAAGATACCTAAAGTTGATTATAGTGGTTTATGCACGTAAGTGTGTTATTTTTGATTCTTAAGTGATGTAATGCAAGTAATATTTTAACAGGTCTTGGAATCTTAACATAACTACTTTTAATCATGTTGGAGATTATCATTCTTTAAGCCCAAAACACATAGGTTAGTTCCAGAGCCAAAAAAAAATGTTAAAAGGATTGAGAAAACTTGAACTAATGAGAAGAAAACAAAATATAGAAATTTCAAAGATGAGGGTTAAGGAAGATAATAAAATTTAAGATAAAAATGATCTAGAGAAAATAAATAGATATTTGAGAATACCCGGAAAATGGTGATTGAAGGTTATTATAGAACGAAATTAACAATAATATTTTGATAATTTATGATGATTATTGATTAGTATGATGACAGATTCGCAATGATATTTTTCTTTGGGTTAAAGACAATTGGTTTGTTGTTTCAATCCTTAATTTATTTCGAGTGATTAGCGCCCGGTTATGCTGAACCGAGGGTGTAATGTAAGTTACCAGTAAGCAGTTAAAACGTTTTTAACTTTTCAATCGTAGTGTAAAACTCGATAAACCCTAAACCCAAAAGAGCTTTTAACGGCGTTAGTATGACTGTTCCAACTACAAAAAACTCCGTCGTCCTCTTATATTTCACACCGCCTCTCCTCGAAGCCCTAGTTTTGGCGGCAATCATCGATCGACGATTCAACGCAGTGAAGAAGCAAAACGAGAACTCTCAGCTTTCTCCTCTAATCTCAGATGGCTCCAAACTCTCGTGTAGTGTCGAAGAGACACAGACCACATGAGAAATTCGATAAGAAAAAAGATACGAAGAAGGCTAAACTTGTTGTTTCAAATCATCCAACAGAGGAGGAGGAGGATCTAGGTAAAATGTTTAGCTCTTGCAAAGTAGTTCCCATAGCTCTTGTATGTCAACTACTCAAAATCAAACTATTGTATTTGTAGATTCATCTGAAGTAGAAGAAGAAGAACCTGTTGAGGAAGAACCGGAACCAACGGTTTACAGAAAACCGACTACGTATGATAATTTGCTGGCGTCTCTCGGTTCATCTAACAAAGCTGTTGATGATATGAACAAAAGAAGGTACCTTTTATATCAAAATCTTAAGCTTGTTTTGGTTGATTTGGTACTCTTTGTAACATTGTTTATAATGTCATGGCTTTAAGTGACATTTATATTACACATTCTTGTTCCTCTGTGCTTTACTCTTTTAAGGTTTTTATCTTTTAAATATGGGTTTCCAAATCATTTTAACAGGCAGAGAGAGGAGGAAGGCAAAAGCGACACAGAAGGAGATGATGAGGATGAGGACGAGGAAGAGGATGATGACAGTGGGTCTGAGGAAGAGGATGATGATGATGAGATTGAAGGTGATTTTTTTTCCTTGTATTGGAAAATTATTGTTGCTTGAATATGCTTTCAACTCATTTATTGTTACTTATCTCTGGCGTTTTGGTTTCTACGTATTCTTGTTATATTTGCAAGCTTGTTCAGCCTATTGATATCAGTTATACTTCTCTTTTGTCATTGTTGAATTAAGGGGCTGATGAGGAAAGTCTCGGAGGTCTTACTGAGAACACAGAGGAGGAGAAGAATGATAATCGTAGCGAGGAAGAAGAATCTGACGATTATGAAACGGATGAGGAGCTTGAGTTGACTACCAATGGCAAACCTTTGGTTGATGCTTCTTCATCTGCTAGGTAAATTTAATTTTGGATTGTGGTTTCTCTAATAGTTTCTGACTGTTTGGCGGGCTAGTTTAATCCAGTTCAATTTAAAAATTTATATTTGTTGTTGTTCAGTGCATTTAGTGAGCACCTTAGTCACACATTATCAAGTGAAGAAGTGAAAACCTTACCCGAAGGCAAGTGGAAATTTAAATGGGAAGCACCAGCCGTTGACATGCCAAATTGCAAGTGGAAAGGAACAAGACAAAATTTCCTCGATGTATGTGTCCACAGAAAAAATATGGTTGCAATATTCGCTTTCCAAACTTAGGAATCATCAGTAGCACTAAAATCTTAATTTTGCAGGCTGTTCAGAGTGATGCACCTTATGGCCTCAAGCCGAAGTTATTTAAGCACTGGCTTCAGTTATACGAAAAGTCTGGTGGAAAAGACTTTGACTCATCTAAAAGAAGAAGATTCTTCTCCATTTGTACGTACTATATTCTGGCAATCACCTTTTCTGAATTCTTTTATTTGTACTGTATATCGTTCTTGTTGCAGTTATGGCTCTGGCGTTGATTACAGTATTTGATTTTATAGGCAACAGCTACCTGGATATTTTGCATTCTAACAAGAGACCCTTTTACAATAAAGGCCGTGAAGAAGACTCAAGTGTTATGGACGCCTATCTTATGCATTCTGTGCGTGCCTACTTTTATTCAATTTTCTAAAGATCATTTTATGAGGTTTCTGTTACTTTTCAGCCCACGTAACATTTCTCCAAGTTTTATTGAAGTCAGTTTGTTCTTATGCAGTTGAATCATATTTTTAGAACGAGAGATCTTGTGAAGAAGAATGAAAGTAAAATTGCAAAGCATCGAGAGACGTCTGAACAGGAAATTCTTTCTGATGATGGATTTCTTGACCAAGGATTTACTCGTCCAAAGGTGACCCGTTCTCTTTTCCTTCTGCAGATGCTTTGTGTGTAGAATATGTTTTTTCTCGTATTTGACAGTTAGCCTTACGTTTCTTGTATATCCAGGTATTGATTATACTACCGATGAGGAGTATTGCCTTTCGCGTTGTTAAGAGACTCATACAACTAACTCCAGAAGCTCAAAGGGTATATAAACTTATGAAATTTAGTAATTTGTTTTTCACTGACATCTGCTATGTGACTATGTTGCCTTATTCTATGATACTTGACTACTCATGGATGAGTACGAGCTTGATTTTAAGCATATTATGTAAAAAGAATTGTGTTATTTTGTATGTGTACGGTATACGGGGTAAATTAAGATTGCTCTGCATTGATATTGTCTCGGTTGCTGATTTTGTCTTGAGTTGCCTTTGATCTCTTCAATTACTATTCATTGATTTCAGGTTAATGTGGAACACCTTGACCGGTTTAATGCCGAGTTTGGATGTGAAGACGAATCCGATGACGATGATGAGAAGACATCCAAAAATGGAAAATCGGCAACCCACAAGTCTTCAAAACCTTCTGATTGGCAATCCCTGTTTGGTGAGAAGAACAGTGATGATGAGTTCATGTTAGGCATTAAGCATACAAGGTATTTCATTTGCATACATCCTCTTTAATATCGCAGTACGTTCTCCTGCTTGTAAATAATTTGGGAGTTGCTTGAGACTTGAATTCTCTTGTTGCTTCCAGAAAGAGCATTAGGCTGTATGGTGATTTCTATTCCTCAGACATGATTATTGCTTCCCCCCTCAAGTTACATATGGTGGGTACCCTTACTTATTTTTTTGTGAGTTGACTTGTGTAAATCTTCTTGATTCAATCTCTTTATAAAATTTACTCTTTCTAGGCCATTGGTCAAGCAGAAGAAAACAAGGAAAAGGATGTCGATTTTCTGTCCTCTATTGAGGTAATTTTGTTTATCATTGTGTGAGGAGATAGCAGATGAGTAATGCCAATATTGGTCACTTACATTACTCAACTATTTTTTTATCTCTTAAACCTGGTCTATGGATGCATGTAGTCGCAAATATTTGAAATCGTATTCTGTATCTCCTTATTAAATTTACTGATATTTCCTTAATTTCTATGTGGATAGGTTTTGGTTATCGATCACGCAGACATAATATCTATGCAGGTAGGTTTTGGGGTAAATGTTTGCAAAGATGGAGTATAATGTCTTCAATTCTTATATGCTTTATTATAATGTTTCAGAATTGGTCGTTCCTTACTACAGTCATCGACCACATAAATAGATTGCCATCTAAACAACATGGTACCAATGTCATGCGAATCCGGCCTTTGTATGTACTTCTTCTGACTTCAAGTTTTTCTCTCTAATACGGTTTATATGTCCCAGATATAAAAGAATATTGTCTTATGTTTAGGTATTTGGAAGGACAAGCACGGTTCTATCGACAGTCAATAATTCTAAGTTCCTATTTAACCCCAGGTAATCCTCTGCCCACTGCCTTCTTTCACATGTGGCTAAATTCCTTTTGTTCTTCGTTTATGCTATATTTTCATAATTCTGGAGTATGGTGATTATCGGAGTTTCCAAATTCTTACTAACCCAAAGAATTTTCCCTCTCAGAGATGAATGCGGTATTCAATCGCCAATGCTTGAACTACAAAGGAAAGGTGGGTATTCGTTTTTACAGTAGTTTCCATATATATTACATGCACTTCCGGTATCTTTTCGTTGCTAGTGTTATGAGGGTATTAGATGATTGATGGATTGCTATAGGCTAAGACTACTATGATTTGAATTGAACTATCAAGTCTTTTCCAGACTAAGATTGTAGATATTAGTCAACTTGTCTTTCACTTTGAGCTTTGAATTCACTTTTAGATGAATCGATGCAGGTGAAGCTTGCGTGTGAATACAAAGGTGTTCTCGAGAAAGTGTTGCTCCCTGTCCGTCAGGTATAGTCTCATCTTGCTTAAGCAATAAAAGTTCGAGACATCTTATCTCTTTCGTCTATGTTGCAGATTTATGAAAGATTTGATGCAGACTCCATGACCCAAGCAGACGATGCCCGTCTTGAATATTTTACCAAAAAGGTATAGTTTATTTTTTCATGGATTATATATTGAAAGGATGGTATTGCGCATTGCTGCATTTCTTTGTTCAAGTTTTTTTTAATACCACTGAAAGTAGGATCAGTAGACAGATACTCTTATCACAATATCTTCTGATTATGTTCTTTTTGGTTCAGATATTCCCAAAGATTAAAGATTCTGTTCAGGTACTCCCATCATTCAAAGACTGTGACCTTTTTGATGTCCATACTTTAAATTGCCATGATAAAGAATGGACAACATTAGAGTTGGTCAGAACAAAGACCTTGTCGTTAACACTTAAATTTGAGAGCCTGATTGTCGTATTTTAATCCTGTTTGTAGGGAGGTGTAATGATCTTTATCCCTTCTTACTTCGATTTCGTCAGGCTTAGAAACTATCTGAAGTCGCAGAATGCCTCTTTTTGTCTTCTTGGAGAGTGAGCCCATTTTCTTCTCTAGACCGAAGTACATGTTTTCATTGGTATCTTGATTTCTTTCATAGCCTAATCCTAACTCTTGTTTTCAGCTATACAAAGAATGCGGATATATCTCGTGCACGAGAGTGGTTTTTTGCAGGGAGCCGAAAGATAATGCTTTACACTGAGAGGGCATACTTCTATCGGAGATACAAGGTTTTTTCCCCTTCTTCTTAATATGTATCTGTAATCTCTGATTAGGCTCTATGATACAAATACAATTCTGATCAATGTCGGCTTATGGGGTTTCAGATCCGTGGCATAAAGAACTTAATTTTCTATTCCCTTCCGGAGCGGAAGGAGTTTTACCCTCAGGTAAGAGCATCTTAATCGAATTAATTGGAACACAAGTCTTATCAGGAGAAAGATAGTCGGTATCTCATCATTGTTGCTCTAACTGCAGATTATGAACATGCTTGATGAAGGATCGTATGACCTGATGTCCACTGCACTTTTCTCTCGTTTTGATCTGCTCAAGGTACTTACACAATTCTCATTTCAATTCTGTGATGGTTTTTACACACTTGAGTCATACCTAGTCATTTTTTTTATCCTCCATTGATTTCAAATACTACTAGTTTCTCAACTCGAACTAGGAAGTGGTATATAGGTGCTGAAACATATCAGTCTTTTTTTTACCGTTATTAAGAGTTAGCTGTCTCTGCAGCACCACCAATGTGATGAGTGAGTTATAATGGAAGTATTGTGATGTTATTTGCAGATGGAAAGGATCGTTGGGACTGCGCACGCAAAAAGACTGATCAGTTCTGATAAGAGCATCTTTGCTTTCTGTTAAGGAGTCAAGAATGTTCAAGCATCCCAAGCTTTTGGTGATCACCATCGCTCCAGTTTTGATTTTCTTCTTTTTTCTTTGGTCAGATATACAGTGAACCGATTCAAACCTATTTAAACTAAACACAATCTTAGAGATTGAATTGATGTTGTTTCCATAGAATTTTATACATTCTTCGACAAAGATTGAATTGATGTTTTCATTGGTTCAAAAATATGAATTAGTAATTCTGGCAATTTGAACTTAAAACTCGAAACAGATTAAGTAGTAATTATTGAACAACTTTTCAACCTTCAGGCAATAGTAATAGTTTGTTTTATACATAAACGAGAATCAGAAAGTGCAGTGATGATCAAATGCCTCGCCAGATCAGATGCTCCACTGTGCTTATTGATCAAATGCAGATTTTGAGCAGCTTTTTCACGTATTTCACAATCAAATGCCTCCACCGTGCTTTAGTTTGTTTTAGCTTAAAATTCAAAAGAAGCATAAAGGTTTCGTGGTGTAGTTGGTTATCACGTCAGTCTAACACATTGAAGGTCTCCGGTTCGAACCCGGGCGAAGCCATTAACTTTTTCTTTTTCTCAAAACATTTTGTAAAGATTCGTATTAACAACAATAATACGCCGTTGCCGGGCATCGAACCCGGGTCACCCGCGTGACAGGCGGGAATACTTACCACTATACTACAACGACTCTGTCTGTTAGCTGCTAATAAAAGTTTAAAGTATATGAAGGTACAATGTTAGGTTCTCTGTTCTGGCAATGTGGTTTTTCGTATTTGTAGATGAGAAGTATTTTTTTGTGTGTATATGGTGACATAATTGAGCATCGGATTATGTACGAAGCAACACACTGAAAGGTCAAGAGGGTTCTGTTTTGAAACCTTTGTGACTTGAGATTCAGTGGACAGACTTTTCTCTGATGAAAAAGTTAATGAGCTCGGTGACAACCAGGTAACCCTCTCTTTTTTACTTTTGTTTTCAAATTTAAGCTAAAGAACCGTAGTATCATAGTGATGTCAAGACTCAAGCACTTAACAGTTACTCAATATATTGATATAAAAAGGGCTGAACCAAGGAGAACCGGAAGAGACAACAGCTTTAGCTCTTAGGGTACTAGTGGCAAGTCTGATCAGGAAAATTGCTATGATGGGAAAGCAAATGAAGATTACAACATGTGAGAGGGACCTACTTGAAACCAAGTTTGTTTTGTGACATTATTGTTGGTATTGATGTGAACCTAAAACAAACTCTCATCTAAATCATATGGAGGAAGAACACAAACTCAAGGAATCACTCTCTTTTCCCTTTTAAAAAAATGTATGGTTTGCCAGCACTGCATGTGACATCGTTTACTCAATTACATTAACTAATGGCAAAACTGTAGTAAACAAAAAAACACACATGGAGAGATTCCCTTAATAATTGTCTTATCTGTCCTGAACCGAGTTATTTGGGCTAATCTTGACTAATCTTGCAAGAAATTCAATTTATAATTTGTCTGACATTGATAGATATGTAAACTCACAACAGAAACATGATAAGTTTATATAGTAATATCCTATATAGAATTCTATTGAGAATACGTTGACTTTGAAGAGTTCAAAGAGTTGTTTCACTTTCACCTAAACATTCATTCATTCACTCCTTTGTTGTCCAAAGACAGAGACTGCTCAAAAACTGAAACCAAATGTCGTCGTCTCTCCCTTCACTTCGTCGAGTCAACTACGATGTCTTCCTCAGCTTCAGAGGAGCAGACACCCGTAAAAACATCATTAGCCATTTGCACAAAGAACTGCTCAGACAAGGAATAAGGACTTTCAAAGACGACCGGACGCTGGAGATAGGAGACTGTGTTCCAAGAAGACTCCGTCAAGCCATCAATACTTCGAGGTTTGCTATTGTGGTCATCTCAAAGAACTATGGTACTTCAAGCTGGTGCTTGGAAGAGCTTCGAATGATAATGAATCTTGAATTGGATAAAAAGATTGTTGTCATTCCTGTTTTCTACGACGTGGATATCTCTGACGTTAGAAACCATCGAAGAAGTTTTGCTTTAATATACCACCACCAAAGTCCCAAGATTCCCAGCTGGAAAGAAGCTCTTCAGAGGATCGCAAACACACAAGCCACCGAGTCAAGAAAATGGTAAACTCTTGTTTTTTCTTTTAATATTATTGTTAATTTCGGAAATGACTTAAAGAGTGTTAGTGGGAATTATATTTATATAGAGTTTGTTGATCTTTAAAGTTTATGGATTTGTTAAATTTAGAAAGAGTTGTAGTAGATAAAATCTATAAACCAATAACACTAGATTCTAACATTCTGAGAATCATTATAAACTTTAATCCCATTAAATCTCTATGCAATAGTAAAATGTTATAATCGTTAAGTCTGACAATTATTTGTGCTCATACATCATCTTATTGTTGTTTTTTTTTACTGATATTTGTTAGCAAAGACGATGCCACAATGGTTGAGGAAGTTGTTGAACTTGTTTCAAACACGTTGTTGTCTAAGTTGCCCATGGGCCTCGGGGATATCGTTGGTATGGAAGCTCACATGGTCCAAATCGAACATCTTTTGGACATGGCCTTCACGACCAATGAGGTTCGTATGGTAGGAATATGGGGAATGGTAGGCATTGGCAAAACAACCATAGCCAAGAATTTTTATGAAAAACACAAACACCATTTCAAGAATCATCACTGCTTCATGGAAAGAGTTTCTTCTTTGAAAAAACATGGTCCCTTATTCCTACAGAAACAACTTCTTTCCAATATCATTGCGAAAAAAGATCTCAGTTCACTGAACCTTGGTCAGGGAGCTTCTTGTATCAAGTCAAGGCTCGAAAACCTAAAATCTCTAATTGTTATTGATGATGTGGATGATGTGAAACAGCTGGATGACTTGGCAAAAGAGGCTAGTTGGTTTGGACCAGGGAGCCGAATCATCATCACAACACGGGACAAGAGCTTGCTCAACTCCTCATGTGCCGTGTACAAAGTTGAGTACTTAGAGGATGATAAGGCTCTCCAGATCTTTCAGAGGATTGCTTTTCAAGGAGCAAAACCTCCTACTGCCTACAAAGATCTCTCTATAAGTATCTCTAACCTTGCTCAAGGTCTTCCTTCTGCCCTTGAGGATTTAGGCACTTATCTACGCGGCAAGTCCGTAGTGGAGTGGCGAGATGCTTTGAAATCATTTGAGGAAGCACCTCTCGAGAAAACCATGGTGGACTTGAAAAGTAGCTATGATGATTTAAATAACCTTGGTAAGAAAGCTTTTCTTCACGTCGCATGCCTTTTTAATGGAGAACCTGTACGGCGAGTCAGGAAACTTCTTGGTCAAGGTAAAGCCGGGACCAGAGTTTTAGAGGAGAAGTCTCTCATCAATGTGTCACCTGATGGGCGTATAGCTATGCACCGTTTGTTGGAGCAAATGGGAAAACATATTGTGCGTCAAGATTCAGACAACAGCCCTGCTCATCAACGTATCTTGTGGCACCATCATGACATCCGTCAAGTACTTGCAACCAAGACAGTAAGTACAAGCAACTATGCTTATTTTTTGGTTGGCTACTGTTAACGATGTTACCTACTCCATTTAACTCCATCCTATTTAAACTCCGAATCCGTTTAGGTTTATTAGGGTTATCAATTTAGATCAACAAATATTACATTAACTCATTTAGACTCCTTTATACTCCCTCTGTTTCATAAACAGTGTCACTTTGATATTTTTCACACATATTAAGAAAATTTTTGGAATGCATTATATTCTTATTAATTGCACATATTCAACCAGTAAGATTCTTAGAAACTAAAATCATTTATAAAATCAATGCATTTGTAATTAATATTTAGTTCAAAATTGCATTGAAACTTTAAAGTGACATTTTTGCATAACAAGAAAAAAATGTTAAAGTGACATTTATTTAGAAACAGAGGGAGTATCAATTTAAAGTGATATGTGATTTTTTTTAAAAATACTTATTGATAATGTAAAACTATTTGGAATAAAAATCTAATTTTTTTCGAAAATTTAAAGTATCTATAAATTATTTTTGAAAAAGGAGGTTAAGTTTTTTTTTTAAGTTTCTTAAAATTTTTTGAAAAAGTTGAAAAAGTACAAGCAATGTTCTTAATCTGTGTTTCTTCTTAACAATGTGTCACATATATGCCACTATCTATTATATGTTAGGGTACACACTTAATCGAAGGCTTGGCGCTAGATGTTTGTGAGATGCCCCCTGGAGTTCACATCAACTGGGAGGTTTTCAAGCCAATGCATAATCTCAGGTTTCTTAAGATATATAAGTCTAAGCAATGTGGAGGTTTAGATCCCGGGAAAGAAGCTATAATTCTAGAGGATAACTTGAGTGTACATAAGCTTAGGTTACTACATTGGGATGCATACCCTTTTACAACCTTGCCTGCCAGTATCAGTCCAGATTGTCTTGTTGAACTAAATCTGTGTCACAGCAAGCTGAAAACCCTTTGGAGTGGAACACCGGTATATAAAATGCTCTATTTTTCTAGTACTTTCATATGCTTTCTTGTAATAACATTTCCCTCTGTTTGTGTTTTGTCAGAAATTTTTGAATTTAAGGAAACTAGATTTGACTGGATCTAAGGATCTAACAGAACTTCCAGATCTTGAGGAAACACAGTATCTAGAGGAGTTGATACTGGCAGGTTGCAGTTCCTTGAAACAGATGCCAAAGTCCATCTGCAGCCTATCTAGACTGCAGAAACTTGATGTGTCAAACTGTGATGGGCTTAAGGACCTGAGGATCAAGATAATGAAATCTAAAAGTGCTGTCTTGCAAGACACAAGCATGCGCGTTAGATCAGTCCGTCTGTGTTTTTATGGCACAGAGCCGTTTTTGGGAGACACTCTGGGATGCTCTCTAACAAATCCATCAATCAAAGGCAACTTACAAGTAGAGCTGATGCTTCTTGGAGGATATGCAGAGCATCTATCTTTTGTTTCTAAGAACCATGTCTCTCGTGAACTGGATCTCAAGTCACCTCCCTACGGTTTTAAATCACTGGACATCATGCGGTTGAAGTGGAGCGTGAAGGGTGGTTATTTCAAGTGTGGTAGCTTTTCAGGCTTTCCTTGGTTACAAGAGTTGAATCTAATCAACCTAAACATCCAGAAGATCCCTGATGACATTGAGCACATGCAAGTCCTAGAGAAGTTGGATCTCAGTGGGAATATCTTTGAGAAGTTACCTACAACAATGTGTTACCTTACAAAGCTGAAACACTTGACGCTCTCTAACTGCCGTAGCCTTCAAGAATTGCCAGGACTACCTCAGGTGGAGAGTCTAACACTTTCTGACTGTACAAACCTCAGAACTCTGGTGAAGAAAGATCACGGAACATACAGTCTGCTTGAGCTCTGGCTTGACAACTGCAAGAAAATTGAGTCATTACCAAATGAGCTTAAGCATTTAACCAAGTTGACGTATTTAGATCTCAGCAGACACGATTTCAAGATAATATCGTCAAAGATGGTGGGCGAGTTAACCTCATTGGTAACTCTCAGCCTCAATTACTGCAACAACCTTGTATCACTGACAGGGCTTCCACTGAGTCTTAAGTGCCTAAATGCACATGGTTGCAAGTCTCTTAAAACTTATTCCCTTCAGGCCGCGCATTCTATTGATCACCTGGATCTTAGCGCTTGCTCCAATGGGAAGGACAATAGTATAATCACTAGGTTTCCAGCTGGAAGACGCGGTAAAGAGGTAAACAAACTCTTCTGCTATATTTTATATATCTACACAGGATATACAAAGCAGTTAAGAGGTTAATCATGTGACTTGTAGGTACCACTATGTGCTTGTCTTTGCTTCCAGGAAACAACAAGACTTGGTAAATATAATCATGTGACTTGTAAACACATATCGATTTTCATGAGGCGTTTAAAGTCATGGGTGTTGGGTTTCTTCCTGTTTATATTGGCTGTGGTTCTCGGCGTTTTGCTTGTGGTGATAACTGATCCTATCTCCGCAACTACACTACTAATGGTTACTTTTATGTATCTGAAGTTGTAAAAAAAAACTCCAAGGAAGGTGTTTGCGTGTTTCATTAAACATATTATGTTTCATTTGCCGAACCAAAAGGAGCTATTTAATGGTTCATTCCATTGGTTTCTTATTATACCTACGAGTCGGAAGAGTGAACTTAGGAGAAACAAAAAATCTGATCGGATTTGAGCTGTGGAGGCAGCATTGCAACTGTTTCGGCAATCTAACCGTTGAGAATAAGCAGGGATGCCAATGCCTTGCACAACTACAAGACGAGTAATCACAGGAGTCACGATAAACATAAAAGTAAAGATGCATCAAGGAATCGTTTGTAAAAGCATTTTAAATAACTAAAACAAAGATGAACAGAGTGGGCAATCTAACAAATGAGGTGGTAATTACACTTCCAGCTACGAGTACTAGCTCGTATCCTTCTGACTCATCATCATCATCTACATAGCCTCCTTCACCCACTGTTTTTTTCGAACAATCATGATTTACTTGCATTGACTATCAATTGCAAAGGGTTTCGTGGTGTAGTTGGTTATCACGTCAGTCTAACACACTGAAGGTCTCCAGTTCGAACCTGGACGAAGCCATCCTTTTTTTTTGGAAAGTACGATTTACGAAAATACTTTTCGTATTAAACAAAAAAGGTAATCGCCGTTGCCGGGGATCGAACCCGGGTCACCCGCGTGACAGGCGGGAATACTTACCACTATACTACAACGACTCTTGTTGGTTGTTAAACAGAATTTAATTAATTTATATAAAATATAAGAGTTTCTCTAAGGTTTTGTTCTGTATGATGATAATGTGGCTTTCCATAATAGTATATGAGCTAAAGAAGTATTTCTGTGTATATGGTGACATAATTGAGAATCAGATTATGGTATGACCACACTGGAAATTCAAGAAGGTTCGGTTTTGTAACCTATCTGACTGGAAATTCAAGCACTTGTAAAAAGGGCTGAACCAAAGATAACCGGAAAGGATAACAGCTTTAGCTCTTATGGTGCTAGTGGGACTGGAAAGTATGATCAGAAAGATTGTTATGGCTGGACACCACATGAAGATAACAATATGTATTCGGGTAATGGGGATTATAGTGGTTTTGGAGCTTATGAAGTCGACATTAGTCTTAACGTTGCATATACGTTTATTCCGAGTAACTTGATGCATGGTTCACCCTTGACGTTGCATATGTGTTTAATTCAACCAGCCCTTGATAATGAAGCTCTATTTAGCCCTTGATAATGAAGCTCTGTTTGTCGTAGACTATCACATAATTTTGCAGTAAGTTAGTGTGAAATGAATTTACGTGTACAAAAACACCAAGCCTTTGTGAATTGTGACTGACTAACTCAAAAGTCAGCTTGGACATCTAATATAACATGTGGTGGTCACATGGTTCTGAAAGTTCTGTGGCTGTGTGGCAATTATCAGTTTGATTCCAAACACTTATTGACCTCATCAACACTATATTTTTCTATGAATATAGATTGATTTTACTTATCACTTATTATCATCTTGCTATCTAACAATTTCAGTAGTTTATTTTTATTGCTCTTTTCTGTGTGAAAATTTAACGGAGATTTCTTAGTTTCTTATGAATAAAAAACTTAGAGTGGTTTTATAGTAATGTATACAATTATATTTAGTTGAGTTTAAATGTAGCTGAAAACTTTGGAATAGTGTATTGTTAACCGATTACTAAGATTTTCTAGTGCTTGAATTTTATATTTATTTTTGGAAACAAAACAAAGTCCATCACATGTTAGTCATCGATCGGTTTACACCATAACACCTAATCTTCCTTTTGTCGTTGATAATTACATGACACCTGATTTTGAATCATTTGTGGCTTTGCTTTTTCTTGTTTAAGTTGAATAAAAGAAAATGGAATATTATAAACATTTCACCGACACCTTTGAGACTTTAAGCCACGCAAATTCAACCGAAACTTCGTTAATAAATCACAATACCCTAAGACTTTGTCATTTGCCAGCATGCAGCAGACCATGAGATTAACATTTATAATAATTCATAGGTTCTTAGGTTATGTACCACATGGTAGCTTAATTAATTGATACAGCTAACAATTAAAAAAAAGTAGCCAGCTTAATTGTCTAGTCTAGCTATAGACTAATTGACCAAAGCACTTGCACTACTAGTGGTCAACCTCCCACGCATTACTGCCACCATATTAACTTATGCGTTTTAGGTTTTTCAACACAGCTAATCAAGAATTGTTACTGTATAAAATCAAATGATTTAACATTTCTGTTTTTTCTTTCTTGTATAAGCAGATCAAACATTTTTCTCGAATAACCACAAACAATAATATTCGGACCGAACAAAATGTATATATCTTCATTTACATAAACAAAAAAATAAAGCCATACCGGAATCGAAAAGAAAAGCTGTATATGAAATCAAATAAAAAAGAAATGAAAAATGAAACAATGGATTTATACAAAAAAAAAATGGAATGCAGAATTTTCATTTTGCTCCTCAATATTTAAAAACTGAATTTCCAGACCTTGAACCTGAGATCAACCTTACACTTAGCAGAAGAGGTAACAGCCGTCGTCGCCTTCTTCCCCGTCGGAGCCACCACTCTAATCCCTTCACAAGTAACCCTGATCCCTGCCTTAGGCGTTCTCACAGAACCCATCTTCACTTTCACCTTCGTGTCAAGAACAATCTTAACCGCCACTCCTCTCTTCCCCTTCAACTCTCCCTTAAGCTTACCCGCCGACACCTCATCAAGATCACCCGTAGGACTCCCGACAGTACTCTTAAGCAGAGTCGTGCTCTTCTCACCGTGCACAAACGAAGCCATCGAGCCTTTACCGATAACAACGTCATCATCGACTTTATAGACCGTGATGTCGGTGACGTCGTAGCTGAACCCGACGTTCTTGTTCGGGTTCTTGGCGACGACGGAGAGGGATATGGCGGTGGCGAGGTGCGTGGCGGAGGTGAGGTTGAGGGAGGAGACTTTGAGAGAGGAGACTGTGAAGGTTGGTTGTTGAGGTCGGTAGATTAGGTAGACGACGGCGGAGGCGGCGGCGACGAGGAGGAGTAAGAGGATGATTACGAAAATAGTCCAGCAGCAGCAGCGACAGCAACATCCACGGCTGTGTGTGCGGCGGCGGGCGGCTGGTGGTGGACGGTAAGCTGGGCGGTTTGCGCTGTAGAGCTGAGCTTTAGTCGCCGGGAAAGTTGGTTTGGTGGTTGCTCCGCTGCTGACAACGCCGGGAGGTTTAGAGGCCGGGTAGACTTTGTCGTCTGTCATGTTGGAGAGAGATGAAATGATTTTGATTAGTGGGAGAATAAGGGTTAGGTTTAAAGATGCGTGTTTTCCTTTTTTTATAAGAGATTTAATGACTGATTAGTGGGGGAAAAAAGAATTAATGATAGTGGTGGAGAATGAGAGAGGAAGACAAAGAAATAGCGACGGAGACCAATAAAAGAGAGTGACAGCTCAACGCGGGAAACAGAGCTTACAGGTGTCTTAACAGCGCGTATATATCACGGTGTGGGAATAAACGGTGCAAAAAAGTCAGGATAGAGTCCAGTTGTTAGTTGAGAAGCATTTTGGCAGAAAAATACTCCTACTAGGTAAGTAGGTATTATTATTTAAAATGTTAGTACATATATACATTTTCCAATTGACGACCGATATTACAAAAAAAATGGCAACAAAATTGAGATATGTTTTAGTCAAAATAATAATAATTGAGATATGTAATTTTGAAGCTGAAACGTGAAATCGAACACCAAACCTAATTTCCTTTGTATTGAAGCAAAGATATATGAATGTCCGATTGAATTTAAAAAAACTGATGCTTAGTCCCTTTCCATTTTAAATCTGATCTATAACAAGCAAATTCATATAATTAAGCTATGTTAAAAAGAACGTTGAATTTATACAACTGGATTTATTTAGATCTGGAAAACGTGACGAAAAATAAATTCCTATAATGCAGAAATTATTTTTATTTCATATTTTCCGCATTGCATTTCCAAGTAACAATACTTGCATGCCATAGGTTGGTTTGACTTTTAGTGATTATATATTGAATAATGTGCTTTTCTTTCTTTCTTTGGACAAATAATGTGCTTTTCAAAAGTATATCAGGACAAGCCGCGTGAAGCCGGTGGTGGAGCTTGGTCTGGAGGTGATAACCTAGTCCATAACTAATGAATGTCCTAAGTTCATAATCAATGGTTGCTCAAAATAAAAAAAGGTTCATAATCAACCTTCACATTTTCATTTTCAATTTCCTGAAATTGGGCTTCTTCATTACACTAAAACACACACACAACACAGCTTCCAGTGTAATAGCAAGTCCATGTTCATTGTTTAATTTCTTCCCATGTAAGCAAATAGATATAGATTGCTTAGAGAATTGCAGTCTTGCACAACTCAAATCGGATCACATTCATTAACAATTAATTTGTTGCTACCCTTCCCAACTTGTAGGTATAAGAAACCAATGAAATGAATCATTCTATAGCTCTCCTGGTTTCGCAATTGAAACATAAAATGTTAATGAAACACTCACACATCTCCTATGATAAAGTTTCTTACAACCTTAGATACAAAAAGATCATTAGAAATATGGTTGCGGTGACAGGATCGGTTATGATCAGAAGCAGAACATAGAGAACCACAACCAATATGCACATGAAGAAGTTCCACAACAATGACTTTAAACACCTCAAGAAGATTGATATGTGACTACAAGTCACATGTTTATCCTTTCTACATGTTGTTGTTTCCTGGAAGGAAAGACAAGCACATACTGGTACCTAAAGATAGATACTCTGCTATTCCTTTAAAAAGCTTCAAGTAGATTTGTAAGTTGCCTTTGATTGATGGGTCTGTAAGAGAGCCTTGAGTATTACTCACAAACGGCTCTGTGCCAAAGAAAAACATGCGGACTGATCTAAGGCACATGCTTGTGTCTTTAAAGCCAATACCATTAGACTCCGATATACTGATCTTCTCTTTCAGCTCATCACAGTTGGACACATCGACTTTCTGTAGTATAGATAGTTTGCATATGGATTTTGGAACCCGTTTCAAGGAGCTGCAACCTTCCAGTATCAACTCTTCAAGACACATTGCTTCCTTAAGATTTGGAAGTTTTGTTAGATCCTTAGATCCGGTCAAATCTAGTTTCATCAGATTCAGAAGTTTCTGAAAAGTATGAGACACAAACACAGGGAAATGTTATAACAAGAAAAGAAAAAAAAAACTACTTTCTAGCATGGATATGAAAGGACTACATACCTGGGCTCCACTCCAAAGGATTTTGAGCTTGCTGTAACACAGCTTTAGTTCAACAAGACAATCTAGATTGATATTGGTAGGCAAGGTTGTAAAAGGATATGCATCCCAATGTAGTAACCTAAGCTTATGTACACTAGAATTGTTCTCTAGAATCATACCTTCCCTCCATGGTTGTCTGATTGCTTGGAGTTATATATTTTAAGAAACCTGAGATTATACATGGGCTTGTAAACATTCCAGTTGATGTGAACTTCATCGGTCATTTCACAAACATCTAGTGACACGCCTTCGATTAAGTGCGTACCCTGACATATGATAGAATATGGTAACTTTTATTGTTAAGAAGAGGAATGGTGGCAGAGTTTAGATGAGAGTTCGTTTAGCTTTCAATTTTTTATTCATACAAAGTCACACAACCCAAAAGTACACATCTTTCACATGCTTATGTAATTTCAATGCGGAAGATTTATATAATCTATTGATATGAATTAAAACTCTACTGGTTCGTCTTATCTGAAAATGTACTAGAGACCGATAGGGTACATGAACTTGTAAGTAATCTTGGTTTTTCTTATAAAATGGCTAAGACTTTAATGTTAACAGTTTGCTCGACAGGGTTTATCAATCAGATGAAAGTGAAAGCAAGAGCACAAAATATTCACTTGCCTCTGAAGATACGCTATGTTATGCCGTATTTGTCGTCCCAATACATTTTACTGATCTTGTAAAGTTGCTGTACGTTAAGCATCTGCAGAGAAACAATACATTTTTCCTAGATTTACATGAGATGAATAAACAGGTTCAAATAAACATTTTTAGCTTAGTACTTATCTCTTTTAACCTTTTCTTAGGCTTGTGATATGTATAATCAAGAACCCAACAGTATCCAACAGTTACCACTTGTTTAAACATAACAAATATGGAAAGAGAAAAAATAGAAGCAAGGAGTACAATAAAGTAGAAAACGTGAACGGCAGGATTCGAACCTGCGCGGGCAAAGCCCACATGATTTCTAGTCATGCCCGATAACCACTCCGGCACGTCCACTTTTGATTCTTAGATTGGTTTTTCGATTACTATCACATTTTGTTTGATAACTATCACACAAACCTACATTTTGGATGGATGAGACCCCAAAATATTCGGTGCTCTGTGCAGACTGCAGTAGCTAGGTCTGATGACAACGTGGTCGTTCTTGTGGGAATTAAGGAACACAAAAAGAAGTATGTACACGACTGTTAGGTCCTGTCCATGCACCTCAGGACCAGCTCAAGATCCTTACTTTGGCTCAATACCTTGTTTGAGACAATACACCACACTATCCCACAAGTTAAATGATATAAGTACCACCCTCTCACTATAATCGTCATTTTTGTTTTATAAATCAGTTTATATAGCTTCCCTAGTTTAACAGTTTGGGACTTTCTGTATAACAGTAGAAAAAGACAAATACTAGTAATAAGGCTAATGTGACATAATTCAATTACATTTTCCTTAAGACACATCTCCGATATCACACAAAATATCCATCTACATTTTATAAAGAACCCAAAACTAAATAACAATGAAAACATAGTTCTCCTTCAATTCTTCTTATACATAACAAATATACACATTCAAGTCCATGAGAAAAAGAAATGGACATTAGCTATGCATCATCATCACCATCATCAAGGTCTTAATTCTTCTATCCCCAGCTTTCCAATTCTTAGTTTTTACGTAAACTTGTGGAGTTAAAAATAGTAATATATTAGTGTAAGAAGATTGAGTGTACACTGTTTCAAGATCTGGTCTTAAATCCAACACCAAACATAATTTTCTTTGTATTGAAGCAAAGATATATGAAAGTGCCTTTGAAATAATAATAACAGATGCTTAGTCCCTTTCCATTTAAATTTTATCTAAAACAAGCATATCATATAATCAAGCAACGGTTGTTAACTGAATTTATACAATTGAGTTTATTTAAATATGCGAATACGTGATGAATTTTTTTTTTTTTTTTTTTTTTTTAATTTCCTTACAAACAGAAAAATTATTATATCTGCACTAGAGGAAAGAACATTTGTCACATAAAATTTTAGAATGAAACAATTAAAATAACATTACATATCCATGTAAAATACTTGCATGCCGTAGGTTGGTTTAACTTTTATATAGAATAATGTGCATTTCAGAAAAAGGTGTTTGAGCAACAAAGTTCAGTATATTAGACAACCAGCGCGAAGCCGGTGGTGGAGCGTGGTGTGGAGGTGGTGACCAACTAGTCCATAACTAATAAAGGTCCATCAACGTTCACATTTTTATTTTCCTAAATTGTGCTTTTTAGTACACCCATAGCATAAACAAAGGAGACCACGTTCATTGATTAATTTCTTCCCCTGCAAGCAATAAGTATAAGAAACCAAAGAAATGAATCATCCAGTAGCTCTTATGGTTCAACAAACGAAACATAAAATGTTAATGAAACACTCACACACCTCCTATCTAATGTAGTTTCTTACGAACTCAAATACAAAAAATACATCCCTAGTAGTAGGGCTGCGGGGGCAGGATCGGTTATCAACAGAAGCAGACTATAGAAAACCACAGCCGATATGCACATGAAGAAGTTCCACAACAATGACTTTGATTCAGGTTTATCCTTACTAAGTGTTGTTGTTTTCTGGAAGGGAGGACAAGCACATACTGGTACCTAAAGAAAACAAGATTAACCACTAGGATGCACATATATACATATATAGAGAATAGCAGAAGATTTTGTTTACCTCTTTACCGCGCCTTCCAGTTGGAAACCTAGTGAATGTACTATAGTCCTTCCATTCAGGGCAAGGACTTTTATCCAGGTAATGAACATACTGCTTGGGCAGAAAGACGATAGGTCTTAGAGACTTGCAGCCATGTGCATATAAGTACTTGAGACTCAGTGGAATCATTTTCAGTTCTTTGAGGTAGTTGCAGTGGTTGAGGCTGAGAGTTACCAAGGAGGTTAGGTTGCCCACCATCTCTGACGATATTGTCTTGAAATCGTGTCTGCTGAGATCTAAATATGTCAAGTTGGTGAGATGCTTAAGCTCATTTGGTAAGTACTCAATCTTCTTGCAGTTGTCAAGCCAAAGCTCAAGCAGTCTGTATGGTCCATGATCTTGCTTCACCAGAGTTCTGAGGTTGGTACAGTCAGAAAGTGTTAGACTCTCCACCTGAGATAGTCCTGGCAGTTCTTCAAGGCTGCGGCAGTTAGCAAGCGTCAAATGTTTCAACTTTGTCAGACGACTCATCTTTGTAGGTAATCTCTTAAACATATTCCCACTGAGGTCAAGTTTCTCTAGGACTTGCATCTGGTCAATGTCGTTTGGGATCTCCTGGATGTTTAAGTTGATCAGATTCAACTCCTGTAACCATGGAAACCCTGAAAAGCTATTACACTTAGAATAATCATCCTTCTCGCTGCTCCACTTAAACCGCATGATGTCCAGTGATTTAAAACCGTGGACAGGTGACTCCAACTCCAGTTCATGAGACACGTGGCTCTCAGAAACAAAAGATAGATGCTCTGCATTTCCTTCAAGAACCTCCCACCGGATTTTTAAGTTGCCTCTGATTGATGGGTCTGTAAGAGAGCACCCTGGAGTCTTTCCCGCAGCTATGCCAGAAAAAAACATGCGGACTGATCTAATGCACCTAAGGCACGTGCTTGTGTCTTGAGAGCCAATGCGTTTGGATTCCAATATCCTTATCCTCAGCTCTTTCAGCCCATCACAGTTGGACACATCAAGTTTCTGCAGACTAGATAGTTCGCATATGGACTTTGGAATCCGTTTCAAGGAACTGCAACCTTCCAGTATCAACTCCTCGAGAGACTTTGCTTCCTTAAGATCTGGAACTTCTGTTAGATCCTTAGATCCAGTCAAATCTAGTTTCATCAGATTCAAAAGTTTCTGAAAAGTATGAGACACAAACACAGGCAAATGTTATTACAAGAAAAAAAAAAAAAAAAGGAAAAATACTTTCTAGCATGTTTATGAAAGGACTACACACCGGAGTTCCACTCCAAAGGGTTTTGAGCTTGCTGTAACGCAGCTTTAGTTCAACAAGACAATCTGAACTGATACTGGTAGGCAAAGTTGTAAAAGGATATGCATCCCAGTGTAGTAACCTAAGCTTATGTAAACTCAAATTTTTCTCGAGAATCATACCTTCACTCCATGGTTGTAAACCCCCTGATTGCTTAGAGTTATATATTTTAAGAAACCTGAGATTATACATCGGCTTGTAAGCATCCCAGTTGATGTGAACTTCATCGGTCATTTCAGAAACATCTAGCAACACGCCTTCAATTAAATGCGTACCCTGACATATGATAGAATTTAGTAACGTTTATTGTTACCAAAAACAAAAAAATATATTAAGAACAAACATTGCTTGTACTTACTATTTTGTTTTCAAGTACAAGATGGATGTCCTTATGGTTCCACAAGATACGTTGCTGACAAGGGTTTTGGTCATGCACAATTTTTTTTCCCATTTGCTCCAACAAACGGTGCATAGATATACGCTTATCAGCTGAGACCTCTATGAGAGACTTTTCCTCTAAAACTCTCAACCCGACTTCACCTTGTTCAAGAAGTTTCTTGACTCGCCGGATAGGTTCTCCATTAAAAAGGCATGCCACATGAAGAAAATCTGCCCTACCAAGCTCATCTAAACCAGCATAGCTACTTTTCAAGGCCGTCATGGTTTTCTCGAGAGGAGCTTCCTCAAATGATTTCAAAGCATGTTGCCACTCCTCTTTTTTCTTCTTCTTAGCGAGATAAGTGCCGAAATCCTCAAGGGCGATGGGAAGACCTTGAGCAAGCTCAGAGATACGTTTTGAAAGATCTTTGTAACCCATATCAGGAGGTTCTTCTCCTTTAAAAGCGATCCTCTGAAAGATCTGGAGAGCCTTATCATCCTTCAAGCACTCAATTTTGTACACGGCACATGAGGAGTTGAGCAAGCTCTTGTCTCGTGTTGTTATGATGATTCGGCTCCCTGCTCCAAACCAACTAGCCTCTTTCGCCAAGGCATCCAATTGTTTCACATCATCCACATCGTCAATAACAATTAGAGATTTTAGGTTTGCGAGCCTTGACTTGATATAAGAAGCCGCATTGCCAGCGTTCAATGACTTGATTTCTTTTTTCCGAAGGATTTCGAAAAGAAGCTGTTTCTGTAGGTCTAAGATACCCCGTTCTTTCACATTTGCCACGAAACAATAACGACCCTTGAAACCGTGTTTATGTTTTTCAAAAATATTCTTGGCTATGGCTGTTTTGCCAACGCCTGCCATGCCCCAGATTCCTACCATACGAACCTCATTGGTCTTAAAGGACATGTCCAAGTCATGTTCGATTTGCTCCATGTGAGCTTCCATACCATCAATATCCCCGAGGTCCAATGGCAACATAGAAAACAACGTGTCTGAAACACGTTCAACAACTTCTTCAACCATCGTGGCTTCGTCTTTGCTAACAAGATCAGTAAAAACAACAATAAGGATCGATCCATTTCTTTTTGCTAGGTAACAATTTGATGCATGTACATATTATAGTACATAGTGTTTTAATCAACTTAGGGGCTTAGTGGGAATCACATTTACAAGGATTATAAAAATTCTAGTATTATTCGTTTATAGATTCTTAAATTCTTACTATGCTATAAATCTAGTGTTATTGGGTTATGATTTTATAATTCTCTATAAAATCATTTGTTATTCAAAAAATTTGCATTTTAGTGATGCTATAAATCTACTAAAGTTAGTATTATTTGAAATATTTATTCTTAACTATTTAACTCATAAAACAAGATTTTAAGAATGGTATATGTGGGGGTTAATAGGAGATGAGTTTAGGTTGAGTTGATTGATTTTAAGAAATAAATTTATTAATTCTAATGAGTTTTCCATATTTTAGAAGCCTATGAAACTATTCGAATACAAAGATTTTGAGAATCTTGAGTATAAATGTAATATTTTGAAAGTTTTGTTTTAAGAGTTATAATGTTAAGAATTTAAGTCCCAATAAAACTAGATTTTAATAAAATAATAAAATCATTAAAATCTAAACTTTTTGAATAACAATGAATTGTATATATCATTAAAGAATCTTCAAACTATCGAATTTTATTAACTAACATATTATATTTAATATAAAACAAATAAACATATAAATGAAATAAGTATGTTTAGTGGGATTTCTTATATTATATTTCACAATGTCTTAAAATTATTCTAATATTATTGATTAATTGTCTAGTAATATTGGTTAGATTTTCAAAATGAATTTATATTATATATCCAAAACTTATAACATAATCTTTTAAATCTTAAATATTAGATATATATTACAACTGATATATGGTAGTCAGTTTTAAAAACTCATGGTGTATCTTTATAACTTTTATTTTATTTTTTCATAATGATGAGATAATGTGTTAAGATGATTAATATAAGGAAATAAAGTTTAATGTTATTCTTTCATTATTAATCAATCAAAATTTCTCTATCAAATTTTTATCAATAAATCTAATTTATAAAAATTATTAAAGAATCAAATATATACAAAATTATTTACCATAATTGTATTTTTATAAATTAGATTTATTGATAAAAAATTATAATGGGTCTTCACAGAGTCTTTCGGGAAAGAATGGGTCTCCTGTTTTTATAAAAATTATTTTTGTTAGTTATTTCTAATTTCATTATGAAAAAAAAATTCTTGTAGATAGTACGTTCATTTATTATAATGTTTTTACTTTTGTTAATTTAACTTATTTGATATTGAATTCTATTTTATTTTGTAATAAATAATTTTAGATAATGTTGATTTGTAAAAAAAAACTAAAAAGTGATTTTTCATGTATTAATTGGTAGTTTTGGTTCTTATGGGAACACACAATAATTAAAAGGAAAAAAAATGTTACCATTTTCTTGACTCTTCGGCTTGTGTGTTTGCGATACTCTCAAAGGCGTCTTTACATTTTTCAGTCCAGGGACTTTCCTCGTAGTCGTCTAAAGAAAAAAGTCCTTCATGCTTTCTGACTTGAGAAATATCTACGTCGTAGAAAACCGGGAAGACAACAATCTTATCCTTCGCTTGAAGGTCCATTATCATTAGAAGCTCGTCCAAGCACCATCTTGAGGTAGGGTAGTTCTTTGAGATAACCACAATAGCACACTTCGAAGTATTGATTGCTTCAGTGAGTCTTTCGGGAAAGAATGGGTCTCCTGTTTTCATGGTTTCATCGTCTTTGAAAGTCTCTATTCCTCGACCTTTAAGTCCTTCGTACAAATGGCTAACGATGTTATTACGGGTGTCTATACCTCGGAAGCTCAGGAAGACATCGTGTTGTTTGGATTGTTGACGTGAAGTTGACCGCAACATTTGCTTTCAATCTTGATCACTCTCTCACTCTCGCTCTTTGGACAACAAACCAATCAAAAGTGTGAATGAAAGTTTAGGGAAACCACCACCGCCTTAAATTCTTGAAACTAAGTCAACGTATTCCCGGTGTATATTCGTATTTCATTTTTAATGTAGTAAGTTTACATCTCTGCCATTTCTTGAAAAATTAATAAATTTAGACTAGCCCGAATAGCGAGGTTTAACCTCTGGACGGATAAATAATTACTAAGGGAATCTATCCATGTGTTTATTTTTGTTTTACTACAATATTTCCGTTTTTATGAAGTTAAGTAAACGGTGTCACGTGAAAATTGTATTAAAGTCAGATCGATCCGTAAATGTTGCTTATCTATTTATTTATTTATTTACCTTGGAGCGTCTCAAAGAGTCAAACCTATAAAGAGACATAAACTAATTCTCAAAAGGATAGTAAAACAGATGAATTCTTACTCTGAATATTCAAATGGAACATAAAATAAACTCATATCTATATGACCATAAGATAAGTGCAATGAAGTGTCTTTGAATCCGAATTAATTAACAAGCCAAAATCCACATTCCACATTCCACTAAACTACTTACCTTGTAATTTATCTATTTTGATTTGATCTAAACATATTTCAAATATTTGTATTTACACAAATAAATTAAATATTAATACTTAATATTTGTTAACATAAAAAAATACAAATACAAAAATTGAGATCCAACAAAATATATACACAAATATATTATTTCTACAATATTTATATTACTTCTTTCTTTAATTTAAAATAAACATTAATAATAAAATATCATTTTTACACTAAAAGCATTCTTAGTAATAAACACACATAACTATAATCCTATCGTTTTAGTAGTATAGATGATATCTATTTTAGTGTGTTTGTTAGTCATGAAAATCATGACAGACAAAAAAACGAAAAAATAGGAAATGCTAGAATTATGAAGGGAATCTCTCCATATGTGTGTATGTGTTTTCTTAGTTTACTATACAGCCTGCCATTAATTTATGAAATTGTGTAAACGCTGAAACGTGCCGGCCAGTTAAGCTTTAGTGCTTATGTAGTGACATAAAAAAAAAGAGACGAGAATAAAGTAAAGGGATTCGTTCATGTATAAAGAGTTAATGTTCCTCCTCCGTAAGCATTACACATGATATGATAATTGCAATGCGAAAACAGCTGCAAACTTGCAATGGTAGTTAAAAAAATGTTCCTACCCTTTAGTTAGACCCTTATTAATAGCAGAATATTACCAGCAAGCATATTTACATGCTCTGTTTTTAAAGCTCAATACTGGTTCTCCTAATCTGAAAATGTACTAGAGACCGATCGTGTAAAAGAAGAGTAGTGACAACTGTCTGAAACTTCAGTTTGACCTTTCCAACAAGAACATGAACCTCTTTTGTTTCAACTTCCGGTTAATAAGTCTCAATAATCTTGGGTTTTCGTAAAGCTTGGCTAGTAATAATCTAATACTTAAATGTAAACGGTTTGGTCGACAGGGTTCATCAATCAGATGAAAGTGAAAGCAAGAGCACAAAATATTCACTTGACTCTAATATACGCTATGTGTGACGTATGTGTCCTCTAAAGTTGATGTACGCTCATCTGCAGAGAAACAAGATCTTTCATTAGGTTTACATGAGATGAAGAACAGATGAAGAAACAAGTTCGAAAGAACCAAGAAGCCAACAGTATCCCACAGTTATTACTTGTTTAAATACAACAGATATAGAAAGAAGAAAATTAGTAGTATAATTTCATTATTAAGAGGTGATTAGTTGATAAATTAGGCAAAGAGAACTATAAAATAAAAAACGTGAACGGCAGGATTCGAACCTGCGCGGGCAAAGCCCACATGATTTCTAGTCATGCCCGATAACCACTCCGGCACGTCCACTTTTGATTCTTCCATTGGTTTTTCCTTTAATATCCCATTTTTGTTGATAACTATCACACAAACTTTGGCTCAGTCAACACCTTGTTGGAGACAATACACCACACGATCCCACAAGTTAAATGATACAAGTACCACCCTCTCTCACTATAATCGTCATTGTTTGTTTTATAAATCAGTTTATATATAGCTTCCCTAGTATAACAGTTTGGTACTTTCTGTATAACAATGGGAAAAGACAAATACTAGTAACAAAATTTAAAATATTATAAATATACATAGAAGAAGATGAGTTACAGAAAAGTATTAAGGCTAATGTGACAAACTTCAATTACATTTTCCTTAAGCCACATCTCTAATACCACAACATGTCCATCTACATTTTATAAAGAACCCAAAACTATATAACAATGACAACATAGTTCTTCTTCTATTCTTCTTATACATACCAAACATACACATTCAAGTCCATGAGTAAAAGGAATGGACTTCAGCTATGCATCATCATCATCATCACCATCATCAAGGTCTTATTTTTTCACTTCTTATTTTTACGTAAACATGTGGAAATTAAAAAAAATAGTAAAATTATAATAGTGTAAGAGGATTGAGTGTACACTGTTTCAAGATCTGGTCTTAAACTTTCTTTGAGCTTTCAGGTCCACCACAATGATCGAGATATTGTCTCTGCTTCCCTTTTGAAGAGCGAGTTTTGAGAGATAGTCAGCAGCGGCTAGGCACGCCTGGTCTTCCCCTACACCTCTCTCAGCTAAAGGCAATGCTCCATTCTTCTTGTGCCACAATAAGATCCGTTTCCTTGCATACTCGCAAGCATCTTGGTTACTCATCACGTCCCAAAGTCCATCACTAGCCAATATCAAACACTCGTCTTCTCTTGCTCGTGGCATAAACGTCACTTCGGGATCTGGTATTACATATGGCTCCAGATATTCATCACCTGAAAAAAGATAGCAGAGAAATGATCTAATGCTTTTGCAAAGACTGTAACAGTCAGTAGCTGCAATTTTGACATACCTATGGACCTGGACATGGCGAGAACGCCAGAAACACGAGCACCTTGCCATTGTATAACTTTTCCTCCAGCTCTCTCTATTCTTGCATACTCATCCTCTCTATCTGGCTGCAAAAAGAGAGTAAGAACTAAGACACTTTCTCAAGATCATATTTAAAGGAAACACTGTTTAGTAAGAGGATTGTTTACTTTGTGATCAACTGATAGAGGCATAGACTCTTTGCCACGGAGTAAAACCGCTCTTGAGTCACCACAGTTTGAGACTATTATATGTGATGAGCAAACCAAAGCTACCACAGCAGTTGATCCAACGGTTTCAGGGGAAACAGCCTCAAGAACCATCTCATCTGAAGAGCCAACAACAGGTCTGTTGATTTTCCCTTTAACTTCATCATCAACCTTTAGGAAACAATCGAAAAACACTTTCTCCCATTGGACCTGCCTACCCTCCCCAGTGTTCTTCTCGCACAGTTCCTCTTTAATCCATTCGATTTCTTCAGCCAAAGCAAAATGGATTCTGTCATGACAATAGTCAGCAACCTGCAAAGAATCCCATTTCCACCAAAGCCATCATATATCACATAACAACCTGCAAAGAGTCCCATTTCCAAGCAAAATCCATATCATGTATACATACTAAGGTAACAAGACATAACTACATAGTATCTCCCAAGTTCCAAGTGGTAGTGGTCAAACTACCTATTGCTCAAAGTTTTTTAAATTAAAGCATACCTGAACACCTCCATGGCCATCATATACACCAAAGAAGTGACTAGTGAGGTGAGTGAGACTTGGACTCATCCCTTCATGATCCCCCATTAGCATCTTAACAGGTATTTTCAGAAAACGAGGTAAAGCTCTAACAGCATCCTCCATCTCTGATCTTTCACCGCAAATAGAAACAGAGCCCCAAAGAGGTATACAATCTAGCTCATAGACACTCCTGATTCCTCTTGCAACGTTATGTTTCTCTTCAGGCAACCTAATGACTACCTCTGAAGCTGTCACCTCCATGCTCACATCGTGATTCAGACTTGTAATAAGGACTTCTGCAGTGGGAACCTGATCTATGGTTGTCTCGCTTAGGATAATAGCTGTAGCGAGAATACGCCCATTGTCTGGTAAACTTATTTCAGACCTAGAGTTCACAACTATTAAACCCTCGCTTATGATAGTAGTATCAGATACTGATACATCTTCTTCTTCTGATTCTTGGACAGTTACAGCATAATCAGAAGACATCTTCTCTTCTGGTTCTTCTGAAACATCTTCCATCATATATTCAACCTCTCCGTTGCTAAAACTCTGATCACACATCATGTTAACTACATCAGTAACGTTCTCCAGCTCGGTGATATCTAAACCTGATGAGATTCCTGAGTCACACATCGTGTTGGCTAAACTCAAAGTTAGTGCAACTGCTGGTGAAATCTCTTCCATATGTTCCTGTGTTGTTCTACACCTTCTCTGCTAGCCTACAAATGAAGTAAAACAATCTCCATCGTCTTCTATAACAGCCAATTCAGCTCTACACAGCAACCAAAACGTTGTTCTTGACACTAACTTAGCCAAAGAGTAGCAAATCAAGAAGTGCTTACCTCTAGTGAACAGATCTGACGGATCTATGCAAAGGATCCTCTGTATCTTGTAGGATTTTGATCACTCCTAAACTCTTGATCTCACCTAATCAGAAGGACTTTATCTAACACAAACCTTAATTAGAAACCCACAAAGTTCAGACTTTTTTTCCAAAAGGGACGACACAAAGCTCAAAACTTTATCCAAAAGAAAAACAGAGGATCAGGTGAAACAGAGATGGGTGACAAGAAGAATCACACAAACAAAACCTAAAAAGACGAGACCTTTATTATCTTTATCTTTCCAAAACGAAACATGGGTTCTCCTGGATCTGATGGGTTTTACCTAAACTAAAAGATACTAATAAACAGAACAGAAATTAATTACATTGTTTTATGTGACAACGACTTTGATATTAACACGTTGATTCGTTGATACCAATCAATTATAAAATAATTTAAACTTCCGTTATTTTATTTTTCATATATTCTATAGTGGTAAAGATAGTAGCCGCGTGTCCTTTCCTCTTAAAGGTCAAGTCTTCGCTAATAATTTCTCAAAATATTTAATTTTGAATTTTAATTGGTCAGCAAAAACTTTAATACATATAAAGACTTTTAGGATTTTACAGGATATGAGAAAGAATTTTCCAAAAATACGATAAGTCTTCAACTAATTGTCTTTTCTTTTCTCTGTTCATTTAAAACTGTTAAGCTGTTATGAAAATTCTAGAATTAGTAAACTGCAAAAACAATTAAAAGCTTCAAAAAAGAAATTCAACAAACAAAAACAGTTCAAGTCTGTTTCATCCTCCTCTCTTCTTAATCTCTTTCTCATTTCATTATCTCTTCTTGAGAATGTTATTCTTCATATGTTTTCTTGAGACACAAGTTTCACACATTATACCTTCTTCTCTTGAGGTCTGAAAAAGAAAAGATGGCTGGAAGAAGAGTAAAAGGAAAAGAGAGCGATGCGGCGGTTACCGCCATAGCCATTGACAAAGACAAAAACAGCCAACACGCTTTGAAGTGGGCCCTTGAACATATTGTTATCGATTCACCAAACTGTATCCTCCTCCATGTTCAAACCAAATTTAGTAATGTCACCATCATCATCATCATCATCATCATCTCTATCATCATCATCAATCTAATGAAAAGTCTTTTTAAAACAGGAATTGGTGCAGAAGAGAACACATTAGCACCACATGACAACCAAGAAGAGGCTCATCAGTTCTTCCTTCCCTTCAGAGGATTCTGTGCTCGTAAAGGGGTCAGAGATTCAATCACATTTTCATTTATACATATATATTTGAGATCATATTATATGTTTTTTTTAAAAATCAGATTATAGCAAAGGAGGTGCTTCTTCATGATATTGACATAGCAAGTGCAATTGTTGACTACATAACAAACAACTCCATTGCAAATATAGTCATTGGAGCCTCTGCAAGAAACACCTTCCTCAAGTATGACATCTCTTCTCTTATATAACCATGACTTGGCTTCTATGAAATTGCTTTAACTCTCTGTGGATGGTCTTAACTCTTAACCAGGAAGTTTAAGAGCACAGATGTGCCAACGACACTACTTAAAACAACTCCAGATACATGTGGTGTCTTTATCGTGTCTAAAGACAAGCTCTTAACAAGCAGATCAGCGAGTAGACCTCATACACCTCAACACAATCCCCAAACACCTTCAAAACAACCATTAATCTCTATGTTGTCTGATCCTGGCCCTGCAAGCTTCACTTCCTCCACTGAATCCGGAAGGTAAGTTAACAAGTTTTCCTCCTGTTCTGTCTGATGAGTGGTGAATACCAAATGAATATTTGTTTTGTATTTTTTGTCATTCTTGCAGGCCTTCATTAAACGGAGACATTTCTACACATACAAATCATTACAAGCCTTCTCATAATATGAGTTCTCCAGCAGATTTAAGCAATGAATTGTCTTCAAACCGTCACAGTGTTGAATCAAATGCGAGTTTCTACAGCATCACGGGACGATCCACATATGGAGGAAGCTCCCACTCTTCCACTTCCATGGTTAGTAGTATTCTCACCACATTACTGCCTCCTAGTTGCTTGACGTTTTTAACATTTTCTTTTCACAATCTGTAGTATGATACAACTGATGGAGACGAAGGCCGCTTATCTGGGGGTAATATCACTGAACATGAGGTAAAAGAACGTTTAGATTTGGTGTTTCAGGGTATGCAGAATGTCAAAGTGTTGAGATGTTTGTGTTTAATGTTCTCAGAATCAAAATCTTGAACTAGAGGTGAGAAGATTGAGACTTGAACTGCAACAGTTTAATGCAACCATGGGGAGAGAAACTGTAAGATACTTACTTCCATGTAGACAACTGAAAACATTCCCAAGAGTGTGTACTAATACAATACACTGAATGAATTCTTGCAGGTCCCTCCTAGAGCTGAAAAGCCGGAGGAAGCAAAGGTAGCAAGAGAGATGCTTAGGGAATTGGCTGAGATGGATAAGCAGAAATCACAGAGTGCGATCCACGCAACCGAAATGGCACAACGTCTTGAAGAAATGGAGAAGCAGAAGAGAAGACTTGTGGAGATGCAGGCCAAGTTCAATGCAAAGAACATGGCCAATAACGTATCTTACAGACGATACAGCATTAAAGATGTGGAAGATGCAACGGATGGCTTTTCAGATGATCTAAAGATTGGGGAAGGAGGGTATGGTCCTGTGTATAAAGCCCTTCTTGAAAACACTTCCGTTGCCATCAAAATCTTGAAGTCAGATATCTCAGAAGGCTTGAAACAGTTCCAACAAGAGGTTGAAGTTTTAAGTTGCATGAGACACCCTAACATGGTGATACTTCTTGGTGCTTGTCCTGAGTATGGTTGCCTTGTGTATGAGTATATGGAAAATGGAACGTTAGAAGACCGTCTCTTCTGTAAAGACAATACTCCACCGTTGTCTTGGAGAGCACGGTTCAGAATCGCTGCTGAGATTGCCACAGGACTTCTTTTCCTTCACCAGGCCAAACCTGAGCCGCTAGTGCATCGAGATTTGAAGCCAGCGAACATTCTGCTAGACAGACATTTAAATAGCAAAATCAGTGACGTTGGTTTGGCTCGGTTGGTACCTCCTGCTGTTGCTGATAGCTTCACCCATTACCACATGACTGCTGCAGCTGGTAAGTCTTTCATTTCTACCTTAGACCAACCAAATATAAAATTTTCATCTCCTTTTGATGTCCTAACTAGGCCTGAGGATTCTGTCCGAAACCAAACCAGTCGAACCAAACCCAAATTTGTGGTTTTAGGTTTGGTTTCGATTTTTGAGTTCGGTTCGGTTCCTTAAGGTTATGAAAATAATTCGGTTTTTGGTTCGGTTTAGAAAACAAAAAATAATCGAAAAGTAACTGAACTAACATAGTAAACAAATTTAACCAAAAACTAAATTTAACCGAAAATATCCGAATTTTTAATAAAGTTATAACGAATTCTAACCAAAAACCAACAAATCGGTTAATTTTAGACCGAATAAACCAAAATAACCGAATAAATGGAAACTGCATGCCTGGTCCTAACAAATATAGACCAATTTTTGAAACAGGTACATTTTGTTACATTGACCCTGAGTACCAGCAAACGGGAATGCTTGGTGTGAAGTCTGACTTGTACTCATTTGGTGTGGTGCTTCTACAAATCCTCACAGCTATGCCAGCAATGGGTTTAAGCCATAGAGTAGAGCAAGGAATTGAGAAAAATAGACTCAGAGAAGTTCTTGATCCCAGAATATCAGACTGGCCTGAAGAAGAGACCCTGGTGCTAGCTCAACTGGCTATGCAATGCTGCGAGTTGCGGAAAAAGGACAGACCTGATCTTGCTACCGTTCTGTTGCCTGCACTAAGCAAGCTAAGAGAGTTTGCAACAGAGGATCATGGCTCTGATAGAACATTTACTGTGTCACTTGCTCACAATTCAGTTCCACGTTCCCCAATATCTTCCTCCTCTCAGGTTGGTTTCTTAGAACGTGCAGTAACGATTTCTAAATATTTGATTCATGAGTCTTTATTTCAATCATTTTATCTGTTATGTAGACAGAGGAGGCATACTGACACAAAAAGTGGAACTTCGACTTTAGATCAAAGTGAAGAGACGTTGGCTATCTTTGAGATCTGCGATGACCTTGCTCAGCTTAAGCATCCGATGCCAACAAGAAGAGGCGATCACAGTAATAAAGCTCATGAGAAGGAAGTTGTTGTTTGTCTTTTATTGATTTCTGATCCACCAAAAAGTTCATTGTTGATCTCCCATAGTGTCGAAGTTCCTTATCTTTTGTATATGATTCAATTTATTGTTTGGTCTCTTGAATAGTATCACTTTCATTCATTATGAAAGAACTGTCATCTTTGCACACAAAAAAAAAACTCATCAGAAAACTGACAGGATACACTAGCAATGTTGTCAATAATCACATACCATAAAGATGTCCCAGCTATAATAAACCAAGCACTTTTGAAAAAAAAAACTCATAAATGCCAATTAAACAAGTACAAACAAATGAGCTAACAATCATGCAGTCTGAACACTATCAATGTGTTGAAAGATGGAAAAATAATGAAGAAAACAAGAACCTCCTGATAACAACACAAACCATAATCATAAACAAGAACACACAAACCATAATCATCAACAAGAACTCATGGAGATTTCCAAATACCAAAAGGTAAAACCTTATTATCATATTATAAAAATATATAAGTTTCAGCAGGTTAAGTTATGCATAATGAAAATTCAAAATGCCACCCTAACAAACATCAAAAAAGCTATGATTCCTTTTTAATGCTTCCCCCAACGACCACCACCTCCTAAACACCTCTCAAAAGCCCCATACCGATTCAAAACCCTCTTCCCCGCCACAAACGCACCAGCAGCCATCCCACCAAGCACACCCGCCACAGCCGCAGCTCTCACCCCACGCGCCGCCCTAAACACCGCTCCAGTCCCAATCCCCGCAACCACCTTAGTCCACGCATCATCCCTATCCGTATACGCCACAACGCCACTCTCAATCCCCGCGTAGATCAGCCCAACAACCCCAACTTTACACCCCAACGACCTCCCCGTGTGACCAGACGAGTTCAAAATCCTGTTCACCTTCAGCTTCGTCGTGTCACCGTACTCAAAGCTCTTGACACCAGATAAAAACCCGGATGCAGCTCCGGCTAGAGCGCCTCCGAGGTAGCCTGACCCTGTGTAGAAGGTGAGATTCTCTCCCCAAGATCGACGCTTTTTGAGAGACTCTTCCGTGAAGAGATACTCTGGAGAAGTGGGGAGCTTGTAGAGATACTGTGCTTTGATGGGAGAGTCGAAGTTTTGGTAAGGGTTGTAAAGGCGTGTGCTTTCGTCGGAGGTGTGATCTGTCGCCATTGTTTTTTTTGAGGGTTTATGAGTTTGGTTGTGGAGACAAGACAGGTTTATGAATTTTTTTTTGTAGGGTTTTTAAAAAAACTTTGTGTTTAATTCCAGTTTGACCCCTGGTGTTTTTATTTATAACATTTAAACCCAAAATCTTTTCCTTTTTTAGTTATTTCCATTTTGACCCGTGATTTTTCAGTATCTTTATATGATATGTATCTTAATTTGGAAAAGTTACCATAAGACCCAAATTTGTGTAAAGTCTCGATTTTGTTTGGATTTTTGGTATATTCTGGGAACAAAGGAAGTAGCTTTTGGTCGGCGGAAGAGTCGCTGATTCGTTGGTTTGTAGATTACAGAGAGGAAGCTGGAAATAGATGGGAAACCAGAAGCTTAAGTGGACGGAGGAGGAAGAGGAGGCGTTGCTCGCTGGTGTTGGGAAGCATGGTCCTGGAAAATGGAAGAATATTCTCCGAGATCCTGATTTTGCTGGTCAGCTATCTCAGCGCTCCAATATTGATCTAAAGGTCTTCACTTTTCTTCTCAGTTACTTCTGTTTGTTCGGACATAGCAAAACCTGATTTTATTGAGTTCGGGGCATATTGGTAATGAAACCTTTGTAATTGTTAGTTTCTGGATGTTTGGTCTGAGATTGAAAAGTGTTAGTTCTCGCATTAAAAAAGGTTGAAACTTTAAGAGTTTTCTAGATTTTGTGTGCTCTGTTTCCTCTGTTGCATGTGAGAGAAGGTCTTTTAACTTACACGAGCTGGTTGATTCGCTATAATGGCAGTATATGACACTATCAAATGCAAGTAACGCTGCAATACGTTGATCTTAAATCTAGCTATGGCTTCAAACCATGAAAGTTGTGAATTTTATGTCCGAAGAAGGTGCTCGGTGATTTTTTTGATATCTGATAAACAATAAGGCCCACAAATCATCAGACATAATGAAAATATTGTTGAGTCTAATTGTTGAGAGTGAAGTTTTCTGATTTTATTATTACTAGAGTTGTATGTGTCTCCATGATTTGGTAACTTATGAGAAAGAATCTTAAAACTCGGATGTTTTATATTTTTGTAGGATAAATGGCGTAATTTAAGTGTTGCACCTGATATTCAAGGATCAAAGGATAAGGTACGGACACCAAAAATCAAAGCTGCTGCTTTTCAGCTGGCGGCAGTTGCAGCTGCCAGTACTCCATCTCCTAGTTCCAACCATTCTCCAGTTGCTACCCTTCCTCGTTCTGGATCTGATTTGAGCATTGATGATACTTGTAACTTTATGGTTGATGCAAAGAATGCTCCCAGGTTTGTTTGTTTTCTCTCTCTCTGAGCCACCAATTAATCCTCTGTTGATTCTCAAGTGATGTAAACTGCTACTCTACTTGCATTCTGATGAGCTAATATTTATATTAAGGTATGATGGGATGATATTCGAAGCTCTTTCATCGTTGACGGATGCTAATGGATCTGATGTCACTGCAATTTTCAACTTCATTGTGGTTAGGCATCTTTCCCTTTATCCTGCATTTGATAGTTGACTCAAGTAGTTTAAATATTTTGATTCTGAATAGTACATAAAACTAATGTTTCACTCTCATCAATAAAAGGTAACTGTTCTTTCCTAGTTACTGCATACCACTATGATTATCTTAAAAAGGATTAACATAGCTCTATTAGGTCTGGTCTCTGTTTTTATTGTCTTGGCAGCTGACATGTAATGATGTAATGATCAAGTTCATGATAGTGGTCTGTTTATGTGTATAGCAAAAAGGACATGAAGTGCCACTACATTTTAAAAGGATCCTTGGTTCAAGATTGAGGAGGCTTGCTTCTCAGGGCAAACTTGAAAAGGTTAGCCAGTTAAAATCAGGAGTAAGTCTTGAAAAGCCTTACTTCGAAACAGTTTTACCTTGATTCCCATCTGTGTTGATTTCTGCCTGCCTTTTGCATGTTATGGTTCTTCAACAATGCAACAATACACACAACAGACGCAGAACTTCTATAAGATGAATGAACATAGCTTGGCAATGAGAACGCCACTTGCTGCGAGACCAAAAGAGGTGAATGTAAAACCCCGTCAGACAAATAGTCAAGTACCAACGGTTTCGCAGGAGAAGTTTGATCACGCTGCAGGAACCGCAGCTTTTAAGTTCGTGGAGGTAGATGAAAAATTAGAGTTGCTCAATGGAGCTGTTGAAGAAAGAGATAGGATGATAGAACTGGCAGAACAAGCTGAGTTGATTCTACTGTTAGCAGAAGAGTTGCACAAAGAATGTAAGTAACTAACACCTATTCACAGTGTTCTTTCATCTCTGTAACTCTCAAACACCTTTGTTGTCTGATATTTCTTATGATTTGTTTCTTGTTGCAGGTTCTCAGGGAAAGATTGTGACTTTGAATTAAAGTTTGACGGAACAAAAGATGAAGCATGGAGTTGAGTCTTTGGAATTTCATCAGACTCTCTTGTGGTATATATACTAATAGTAATAGGCTATTAGGTTGCATTCTCTTGTTTCTTTTTGGTATACCAAATTGTTTTCTCAAAAAGAACATTTAACGTTTTTTCTTTCAGTGTAACATTCTCTTGTGTAAGATTTTATTTACTTTGTTTAACTTTTTTGATTTGCTAAGCATTCTCTGAATCAGTAATAACATTCAATAACCATGAGAAGACACATTCTGTCAAAAAAAATCTATGTATAGTGTTTGTTTCTGTCTGATACAAACAAAAATAATCCAGAATATCATACAACAGTGCTACACAAAGATAATGTAAGAGTAAGTCTTCATTTGAGATCATTTCTCTTTTTCTAGAAAAGTATAATTCTACAAAAAACAAAAGTGTTTCATTTAATTTCGGGAAAATCGCATAAAAAACCTTCAAGGTGGCAATCACTTACACTTTAAACCTTGAGAGTATTTTACAAGCACTTTAAACACTCAAGTTGGCATATTTAGCATATTAAACCTCCAATCTGGCTTACTTGTACATCAAGTTAAAAATGTGACCGGTACTGTTCAAAAGCGATGACGTGTCGGTTTTTTTTCTTAAAAAAAAAATATATATAAAAATACAGAAAATATAAAAATTCATTAAAAATCATTAAAAATCATTAAAAATTCATTAAAAAATTGAAAAAATCATAAAAAAATTCAAAAAAAAATCTCAAAATAATAAATTCAAATTTTTTTAAATAAAATAAAAATGAAATTTAAATAAAATTAATATAAGAATAATAGATAAAATAAATATAAATTAAAGAATAAATAATTTTATTTGTTTTATAAAAAACGAGAAAACATATAATTTTTTTAAAAAAGAATCATTATCTTCAAAGATTCTCGTGAACCAAATCAAAGCAACAAATTAAATTCCAAGTCTTTTAGCACCTAGACTTTCACCTGCATAAGTTTTTTTAAAAAATTATATTGTTATTTGTTTTTCGTGTCACTATTATATATTATATATATGTCATCGAATAATTGAATGTATATGATATATACCACCAAATGATTCTTGTGAACCAAATCAAAGGAAACAAGTTAAAATCCAAATCTTTTAGCAGTTATTAAAATACTCTATATTAATCTAGCTATAAAATCCAGAAAACCTTGACTAATAAGCAACAAAATGACTTGGAATTTAATTTGTTTGCTTTGATTTAGTTCACGAGAATCATTTGAAGATAATGATTCTTTTTTTTAAAGAAATATAGTGTTTTCTCGTTTTCTAATAAAACAAATAAAATTATTTATTTTATCTATTTACTTTATCTATTATTCTTATATTAATTTTATTTTGGGATTTAAAATTTTTGTTTTATTTAAAATTTTTTGAATTTTCATATTTTGGGATTTTTTTATAATTTCTTTTAAGTTTTTCTTATTTTTAATATTTTATTAATAAAATATTTTAATTATTTTGTGATTTTTTAATGTTTATGATTTTTCTGATTTTTTGAATTTTT